CCCAGGTCAGTGCACCTCCTGCCTCCAGCCAGGTGTACTCCCTTGGAACCTCTCTTCCAGTCGTCTACATTTTCTGGACTTTCTCACCCAGAATTCTTTCCCCTCTCTCCCTTGGCTGCCCACTTCTTTTCCTAGAGACACTTAGAGCCAATGTCTGCTTCCCAGTATTCTGGGGACAGGGGTTCCTTGAGGGTAGTGTTTGAGCTCTGCCCTTCTCAGGGGAGAGGGTCCTGTTCCCCTGCTTCGGGTCCTGACTTTCCCCCTCCCCCAACCCCAGCAGTCCCATCCGGATGTTCGCTTCCTTCCACCCCTCTGCCAGCACCGCAGGGACCTCTGGGGATGGTGAACCCCCAGACAGGTGAGATTCTACTCCTTTACCTGTGATACCTCTGTCCTCTTCACCTCTGTGCTCTTAAGTTCCTTGGTCTCTAACCGTTTTTTTTTTGTTTCTCTAATCCACACATGGCGTCCATTTCTGGTCAGTCCTTAATCTCCATCTGGACTGACAATTGCCTTCTCTCCCTAGGTCACCCCTGGAACTTCACATTGGTTTCCCCACAGACCTCCCTAAAAGTGCCCCCCACTCGATGACTGCCTCATCTTCCTCAGTCCCAGCCCCCTCCCCAGGTCTTCCTAGACGCTCAGCACCCCCTTCTCCCCTGTGCCGTAGTTTGTCTCCTGGAACTGGGGGAGGAGTCCGAGGTGGGGTCGGCTACCTGTCCCGAGGGGACCCCGTCCGGGTCCTTGCTCGGAGAGTACGGCCTGATGGCTCTGTGCAGTACCTGGTTGAGTGGGGAGGAGGGGGCATCTTCTGAACAGCCTGCCTCTGCCCACTTACTTCCCCATTCACATTCACCGGCACTTTCATACCCTGACCTCTGACCTCACCTACAGCTGGGATGTACCTGCGGCGGTAGGGGGTACTTCGCCCTACTGCCCAGGCTGGAATCCAGGTGGGGGGTTGGGGAAGAGGCTCTCTCTTCTCTACTCCCTTCATGATTCCTGACCCTTCCCCCATTCCTCTTCCCATTTCCTTTGATGTTATTTTGTTACAGCTTTTTAAATATTTTTAAAAATTATTTAACCCCTGGGGACGGAGACTGAGGAGGGGAGGATGATAAAGGATCCTGGGCTCTGTATCATTGAAATAAAGATAAATAAACTTAGCAGCTCTGAGTCATTCTGAAAGATGAGAACAAAGGGACTAGAAGCACTTCTGATCTTCCCAACCAAATTCACTTTTTGACAAGGAAAAAGGAAAATGACAGAACTAAAGCTTTATTAAGGGTCCAGTCATCACCTGGAAGGCAGGGGGCATTGAAGTATATGAAGGGAACGTGGCAAAAACAAAGGCTCATCACGGTGGGGCTGTGCCGGACTCAGGAACTGACCCTGTAACCTGGCGCACCCAATGCAGGTACGGGGAGTTCCCCTGTTCCACAGGCAATGCAATCACCTCGGCCACTTCGTAAGGGTGCACAGAACTGGGAAAAAGATGGGGGATCACTCAGAGATTTACCCGAAGGAGCCCACCCCCTTAGACTGCCCAGCAAGTCTCACCCCACAGGACACACCCTCACCTCTACCCATAAAGTTCTCACCGAACAAAATCTGTCAAAGCTGGAACCAAGGAACTTTGGGTTTTTATCATCTAAGGGAGGGAAGACAATTGAATCAAAAGGTGAAATTGATTTCAGGATCTCAGACGAGGGACAGGGATCAAAGTAAGTGGTCAGGGAATTAAGTTTTTGTTGGGTGAGGGAACGTTTCTCACCATCAGCACTTCACTGTCCTCCTCAATCTTTCCTTTCCACTCATAGCTGAAAAGGTCAGGAAGAGAGCGTTGTGGCAGCAAAGATTTCCCCCAAGGAAAAAAGACTGCCAGTCAGACCCGAGAGGTAGGTTAACCCCCCAACTTCTATGACTCACATGGATGTAATCTGAGGAATGAGGTTGACGCAGGCTGCCAGGTGCTTCTCCACCACAGCCCTTAAGGTGAAAAGACAGCCCCATTTAGAAACCCCGTGACCCGGATTTTTGCACTGGCAGCCCAGAGACAGGCAGGAAGCAGCGGGAGGGCACTCTTCTCCCCCACCTCCAACTCTCCCTTCCTAAGCATCCTTCCTCGCTCCACACTGAGGTCCCCACCTGGCGATCTCCTTGGCGACCTTCTCGTTGGGGCAGGTGACAAAGGCTGCAGAGACCGAGCCGGCAGCGTAGGCGGAGCCCGAGGCTGGCGAGGGCTGGGACGGGGGGCTTCCTGAAGCCATGGACAGCAGGGCTCGGGGTAGCAACAGAAGGCGAGAGACTACAGGCAGCAGGGCCGGCATCCAAAGAAGCGACAGGAACAGAGCGGCCTGAGAGCAGGAAGTGAATTCTGTGTCTCCCCATAAATACCCCAGGAAATTGCACCCCGGGAACCCTTTGCTTGGATAGACACTCAGGCTCTGCCTTCCCTCTTCTGCACCCCGAAGGAAAAGGTCCCTGAAGCTGAGAGAGAAACTTGTAAAATTAAGACAAAGACTCGGTTTTCACTACCTCCTCCCGGGCCAACCTCTGGGATTTGGGGTGCGGGTGGTGGTCGAAGCTTCGAGGACCGGAAGAGGCGGGGCCGGTCACTCACCCCTCCGCCGAGCAGGAATGCGGGAGCCCGCCCCCCCCTCATGCAGCCTCTGCTGGTAGAGGAGAGTTGAATATCAAAGGCCACATGTTACGCCGAGGAAGGGCCCCAAAGCTAGGAAGAGCGGCCTCTTCTTACCTGGGCAGCAGCCACGTGATAAGAAAACAGCGCTGACCACGTGACAGTAGAAGCCAGACCACCCTAACCCCCAGAGCCAGCCAATCCTTGCCCTCACGTGGCCCAGTTTGTCCCGCCTCCCAGTGAGGGAGGGGCGAAGAGGGATCCAACCAATCAACAGCCGGGTCTGCAGACGTGCACGGAAATGGGACACCTGTTTCCGTGTAAACCGGAAACGGCCTATTGCAGGCTGAGGAGAGCCGCAGCGGCCTTCCACTGTCACGTGAGGGGGCCGGTCCCCTCAGGCGGCGGTACCTCAATGAGCTACGCGAAGAGACCAATCGCGGGACAGCCTCGCAGGCCACGTGATGAGAGACCTGGCGCAAGGAAAGGGGGTCTGGAGACCCCGCAGAGTCGATGCGTCAGGTTGTGGAGTGGGGAGTCATACTTAAACCCCAGAATGTGCCTAGTAACAGCCCTTACACTGTTCCCGAGGCCTTAAGGAGTGGGAGGGTCTTAGGAGATTGAACCTCAGGAGGTGGAGAGAACGCCCCCTGCCATTTTGGTTAGGAGTGACAGATGCCTGAATTGGGGATGCGCAAGTATAACCTGAGGAACCAGCTGTCCCTGGGTAGGGGGGAGTGATTAGGCAGACACGGCATGGCAAGACCATGCCTAGGTGAGGAAAGATGCATTTTTAAAAAAGGACAGAGTGAGACCCTGTAAATGGGATAGAAGATGATTAAAATGGGGCTGAGGGCGCTCAGCCCTCTTAACTGAAACCCCAAAGCTGGAGACAGACTGGTGAATCGGTATGGGGTGTGGGGGAAGGGCTGCAGGTTGGGGATATGAAGAGGACACCAGGAAGTAGTGATGGTCCTTTTGTCCCTTATCCCCTTGCTGTTTCACTCTCCGGGACAAGTCTACCTCTCACTCTTGGGTCTCCTTCCCTTAACCCATCCCCCTAGGAGCCAGGACCTGTCCTACATAAACTCCCTGGGGCCCAAGCACATCCTGTGACCCAAAAATGGAGACAGGGGCCAATGGGAGGAGAAATAGGTGGAAGGAGGCAGGGAGAAAAACGCTCTTGCGTCACCCCCTACCCAGTATTCCCCCTTCCTCCTAGGTCTGGGGTCTCTGGTCTGCTCTGTGGGTATGACTGGGCATTTCCCAGGCTGAGTTCTTTCATACCTGCCTCTCTGGGGCTGGGGTCTCCCTGAGATCTCTGTCTTTGGGTTTGGAGTTTGTCTCTGAGATCTCTGTGGGGTCTTTCAGTATTTGCATTGGCATCTTTCTCAGGATTGAGTTTCATTGTTTTTTGTTTAGGAGGTTTCTGGGTCCGCGATCACCCTCTCTCAGAGATCTTAGAAACTCTTTATGAGTCTGGGGTCTCTTGAATTCTGCATCTCCGGGCTAGCTGAGTGTCTCCTGGCCCCGCCCCCACTGCCCCCAGGGTCTGGAGTATCTGTGTCTCTCGAGTTGTCAGTCTCCGAGTCTGCAGTTTATTTTCTCTGAGATCTAAGTCTGGGGTCTCATATCTCTCTCTGGGTCTGAGTTCTCAAAGACCTAATTCTAGGTCTGGGTTCTTTCTGAATCTGGGTCTCATCTATTTCTTTGAGTCTAGTTCTTAGGTCTCAGTCCCTGAGATCACGTCTGAGTCTTGAGTCTAAGATATCTGTGGCTATGGAGAACCTTTTTGAGACAGGATGCTCAGGTTTTGACCTTTGACCCATCTCTCAGAGTGGGGGGCGGGGGGGTCTGGGGTCTTTTTTTCTGAGACTGGGGTCTCTTTTCCTCTAGACTTTGGGTTTGTGCCTCAGATTATCCCCCGCCCTCCCACCACCCCGGGTGGCAAGGTATCTTTCTCTGTGGGTCTGGGGTCTCCCCATCTCAGGGTCTGGGGTCTGCATCTTTAGAACTGCTCCCTCTCTGGTGTGTTTTTGAGTCAGGGGTCTCTCCCTCTCTGGTTCTCACTGAGTAGGGGTGGGGGCTGCAGAGACTCTCTCCTCCTCCTCCTCCTCCTGCTCTTTCCTCTCGCGCTCGCTCCCCCGCCCCCCTCTCTCTCTCTCTCTCCCTCTCCCTGCTGCCGCTGCTGCCGTTGGCTCCTATTCTCCTCCTCCTCCTCCTCTCTCCTCCTCTCTGCTCCTCTCTGCTCCTCTCCGCTCCTCTCTCCTCCTCCTCCTCCCCCTCCTCCTCCTTCTCCCCCTCTCTCTCCCCCTCTTTCTCTCCTCTCTTTCTCCCCCGGCCCCCCCGCCCCCTCCCCCCCAGGCCTGATGAGCAGGTCTCGCGCCTCCATCCATCGGGGGAGCATCCCCGCGATGTCCTATGCCCCCTTCAGAGGTACGGTGGTGAGGGGAGGGGGAGGGCCAGTTGGGGGGGGAGAAGGGGGGAGGGGCGGGGGGGGCTGGGCAGAGCTGGGGCCAGGGGGGGGAGCAGCTGAAATAGAAGGGGAGAGGAGGACCGGGAAGGCGGGGATGGGAGCAATGGGGAATGAGGGATTGGAGGTCAGAGAATAGGGGTAGATAGGGGCCGGAGGAGCCAAGAAACAGGCCTTGAAGGGGGGCTGAGGGGAAAATGATGAAGGGGAAAGAGATCGCCAGAAAGGGTGGGAAGATAGAAGGACAGGGTTGGGGGAAGAGCTGCAGAAATAATTTGGAGGTGGGAGCTGAGAGATGAGGAAAATATCAAGGAAATAGAAGGACAGAGTTTTAGGAGAGGGGCTAGGAGGGGAAAATGAAGAAAATGAAAACATAGGGGTGAAAAGAGAAGCCAAGAAGATGGGGGGAAGAATATGGTGGGGGGCTCAGAGTATGGTAGGGGGTAGAAAAAGACAGGAGATGGAGGGAGAGAAGAAGGGGCCAGATGGAGAGAGAGGGAGGCAGTGGGGGGAGGGAGGAAGAGGAATGGAGGGTCCAGATGGAGGGAAGAGAGGAGAGAGAGAATGGGGAATGGGTTGGGGGAGGAGAGACCAGGGCAGGGGGAGGGCCAAATTCAGTGTGTGTTTGTTGGGGGGGTGGAGGGGGCAATACAAGTAAGACTGAGTGATGGGAGTAGGGGGCGGGTTAGGACCCTGCCCCACACTCTGACCCTCATCAAGGCCCTTGACCATTGAAATGTAATCCCTGGGGTCTTATCCACTTCCTTCACTTCACCACTTTTATCCCCCTCCCCCACCTCCAATCCTTATTTCCATTCCCCCTCCCTCCTCTGGTGTCCATCACCTATATCTTTCCCCCCATATGGTGTCCGTTCCTTATATGAGTCCCCCTTCTGTCCTTCCCCTATATCAGTCCCTTCTGTGGTGTCCATTCTCTTCCTCACTTCTATCTGGTAGCTCCCTTATATCTCTACCACCTCTTTGCCCCCTCCTTCTTGACCCCCTTGTCCTAGTACCTATGAGGTCCACCTCATTTTCTCTGCCCCATGTCCATTTGGGCCCTTCTGGTATATTCCCTTGTCCCTAAAGATTTACCATCATTCCTGTCTCCTTTTCTCTTAGATCCATCCTTGTTATTTCTTCTCCACCCCATCCTCTCTTCCCCACCCCATTCCCCATCTTATCACCACTAGTCTGTGCCTACTCACTTTCCCCAGCTCTTATCACCCATTCCTCTTTTCTTGGCCCCTCTACTTCCTGGGGTGTTGGAGATTTGGGGAGCAAAGACATAGGTTTTGGTGGTTGGAACAGGACCTACAAGAGATCCGCATCTGAGCCCTGTGGAATTGCTCATCCTAGTAAATCTTTCCTTTTTCTCAACTGTGTTTCTCTGTCTCTTGCATCTGCTTCCCAGAATCATCCTTACTTAAGTCCAGACAATATTTGTATGTGTATATTTCCAGAGGTGCTCCTAAGCTAAGTTCCCCATGTCCTTCCCCGCTCCCGGAAGGTGTCCCCTGAAGTCTTACCTGCCCCCCTGTGGCTGCAGCCTGAACCAGTCCCTCCCATGATGATGATATGTATCAACAGATGTCTCCTCTGGGGGTCCTCAGGGTCTGATTGCAGTGGACATGTTTCCTGCAGTGTCTGCAGTCCCAGAGCCTGGGTTTTGGTAATCTCTGTATCTAGAGGGTATTGGTTAGAATCTCTGCGGTGGCATTGAGATAAGTGAGAGTTTCAAAGTATTGGGGTTTCTAGATACCTGTATTCTGGGGGCTCATCTCTGACTCTGACCTGCAGATTGGGTAAATTTGAAACATGTTTATAGACAGAAAGGGGTTAGATTTTTCAAAACTCCTATTCAGAGCTTTCAGTTGGAATGAAGTTCAAAGACCAGTTCTTTTCCTGCAATATACCCATGATTAATTATCCTATAAAGGTAACAGGATTTTTCTTCCTCTAAACTCTGACTCTGATTCCTTAGGCCTATTTTCTATCACTTTGATGTCACCAATTTGATTTCTGTCTTCTATAAGGCCTGTCTCCTACGTCCCTGTGATGGTGTGTGGCATTGGGGTTTAAAGGGGAAGCAGTTTGCAAGGATGGGGGCATGGGAAGAAGAACAGCAAAGTTGGGGAAGAAGGACCCTGGGTGGGGGTGGGTCTCTGAGCAGGGGTGACCCTTAGTCTACTGTTCTTCTTTTTTAGAAGTTTTGTCCCCAATCCCAGCTTTAGTCTTGGGAGACCCGCTCTATGTCACATGCCTGGATCTTCCATTCTTCCCTCCCCTCTTTCTTCCTCAAGCTCCTCACCGAGCCTTGGGGAGGTTCCTGACTTGTAGAGTTGGCTCCCATCCTGTCTGTGTAGACGCGATAGGGCGGGGAGGGGGTGGTGTAGGGGGCAGTATTGAATCTTTGACCTCCGACCTCCGGGCATGGAGTAGGGGAAGACATCAATTCAGTATTCATTCAAACAGCATATTTCCTACCTCCTCACTCCCCATCCCCTCCACAGCCAGATGCCTACAAGACCCATTCTCCCCGCCACCACTAGCAGAACCAGATCTTTCCCCAAAGGATGAGCAGGGTTGGGCTAGGGGAGGAGGGAGTGGAGGAAAGAGGAGCGGCAGGAGGGGAGGCCCTCTCATGACTCTGACTCTGGGAACAGGTAAGTTCCCTCACTCCCTCTCTTTTCCAGATGTTTAGCTCTTAGAGTCTCATGACCCAAATGTCCCTACATCCCCTTCCTTCTTTCCCACAGCTCTGTAGTCTTCCTCTTACTCTCTTGCAGATGGGTGGTGCCACGTCCAAATCCTTGTCTTCTGCAGCTATCTGGATGACCTCCCTCTTCCCAGACACTTGCCACCAACCTCCCTGTGTTTTTCTTCTGCCAGTTTTGCTGCACCCTCCACCTTTTTATTTTTCTGAAGTGGTTGGAGAGCTCCTTCACCTTTCTCTGCCTCCAACTTGTACCTTCTCTGTCATGATATAATTCCCCTCTCTGAACCACTCCTCTGTATTTCTTCTGCCAAGTCTCCAGAGTCCCCTGTGATGTGATTCCCCTCACCTCTTTTTCCCCAGATAGAGCAGCTTATCTTCTGTTCCTGTAAAGTTACTGGGGCCCTCACCCCCATCTGTGATCTCCTCAAGGCGGGTGGGTTCCCCTTCTGCCCCTTTATGGACTCTCTTCTTGCCATTTTAGACACCTCTGTCTCCCAAATACATAGAGCCTCCCTTACCGTTTCTGTGTGTCTCTGCCCCCTAGATGTACGGGGACCCCCTATGCACCGAACCCAATACGTTCATTCCCCATATGATCGTCCTGGTTGGAACCCTCGGTTCTGCATCATCTCGGGGAACCAGCTTCTCATGCTGGATGAGGACGAGGTGAGCAGAGTGGGAAGGCTGGGAAAAGACCTCTGGGTAGTGTGGGAAAATGTGGAGAGAAGGATGGGGAGAATCCTCATTAGCGAAGGGACGCGAGACACAAAGAAGGCAAAGAGAGAAACACTGGCAAGTGGTGGGAGGAGGGTGGCCACTGAGATTGGGGTTGGGATGTCAGAAGGGGCAGGTGTTCTCTCCCCTTGGCCAGGGGGTCTTTGAGGGCCATGTACAGTGATGGGGAGGAGATATGGTTCTAAAGATTTGTGGGTGCCTCCTGTTTTCGCCCTGCTTATATTGTGGGATAGGTTAGGCTAGGGAAGGGAAACTAAGGAGCTTGGAGGAGGGGTAAAGACATGGGGATCACTTTGGAGGGATTGTCTCCAAAGCAATCGTCGGGACCCTCTCCTCTCCCCCCACTCAGTAAGCCCCATCACTGACCACTCCCTGTCCTTTCCCTGGCGTGGGGCAGAGTACAGGACTCAGAGAGTGGGGTCTCTGAGTGGGGAAACTGGGAAGGGGCTGCAGGGTACCAGGAGAGATGACAGAGGTCAGTAGGTCTGGGTGTGGTTGGCAGTGAAGATGGGGAAGGCTGAGATCAGGGTTTAGAGAGACACTGGGAGGGCTTTCGCCAGGGACATGGGGAAGGAATATAAGGGAAGAGATGCCTGGGGGTGAGGGGAACTGGGAGTATGGGAAGTTGTCTAAAGGAGTAAGAGTGGGATAGGGGCAGGGACTAGCCAGAGTGAAAGACGTGAAATGAACAGAGCATCCTTGTGGGAGGTGGCGGCCATGCAGGGTGATTAGAGTGTGGGTTCTGACTTTGGAGCTGGGTCAGCAGTGGAGGATCCATCAGAGGAAACAAGATGTGAATATGAAGGGTGGACGCCCAGAGGCATGACTGGGAGTGGGGGTGATTTGGGGATCAGCTTTAGAGAGTGATAGGGCAGCCTGCAAGACCAGAGGGGTGGTGAGAGATGTGCCCCGAAAGCTGTCAGGGAGGGTGTAGCGAGGCAGGGTTAGAACTGGAGTTGAGGTTAACCAGGGTTTCAAGGGACCTGGGGGGCAAGTGAGTGTGGAGAGATGGCTGGGTAGAGAGCTTCCAAGGCACAGAGTCAAGTCCAAGTGTCCAGGGGAGGACACGGTGACTCAAGGGAGAGGTGGTTTGGGGAGTTTTAGGCACTGGGGGGCATTTGAGTGATTCACTAGTGGTCACTGGTCTTGACCAAGGGTTTGAGGTCTGTAGGATGAATTGGGGAAACTGGAGACTGTGTGAGGATGAAGAGGGAGGACAGTGGGTGGGGGGATGAAGGAATGACAGAGCTGGGGACAGACAGGTCCAGGGGACCAGTGGCCAGAGACTGAAATAGGAAGGGTGCTGAGGGAGGGAGTGGGAAATGACAGAGTGTAGGGCCACAGGGAGCTGGAATTGGCTGAGTTGTGGAGCCCGGGCTGGGGACTAGTGGGGTGGGTGGTTCTTGGAGGGGTGGAGGTTAGGAGGAGGTGGCAAGGGCGAGTTGGGGATGAGGCTTAGGGAGAGGTGATGGCTAAAGGGAAGTGAGAGGGGCGATGGAAGGAGATGAAGGGTGGGGGGAGGTGACCAAGCCCTCTGGGGGGTGGGGAGGTTGGGTCCCATTCTGGCCGCAAGCCTGGCCGTGGGAGGGAGACAAGCTGTGGATCCTGATTATAAATGCAGCTTCTGCTACCCCCGTGACAGCCACGGAGGGAGGGAAGGGGGTGAGGGAGGTGGGAGGTTGGGAGGAAAACAGGGAGAATGGAGGAACTGAAGGTCAAGGGGAAAGTGGATTCAGGGAGCAGCGAAGGCCAGAGGGGTTGTGGGAATTCCCTGGAGGGTGTTTCAAAAGAAATGGTGGAAGAAAAGAGGAGGGTGGGACGGAAGGGAATGAGGGAGACAGACTCGGAGGGAGAAGGGAACGAGAAATCGAGAAATCCACTCACCCCGAGACACTTAAAAGAGTATAGAGGGGCGGGAGCAGAAGGTGGTCAGGCCTGGTGGAAAGGCAGGCTCATCCTTCCTTGGTGGGGGAGGGAAAGAGAAGGGACGGCCTGGGCCAGCGAGGTCTGACACCCCCCCCCCCCCCGCATCCCCTAGATACACCCCCTTCTGATCCGGGACCGGAGGAGCGAGTCCAGTCGCAACAAACTGCTGAGACGCACAGTCTCCGTGCCGGTGGAGGGGCGGCCCCACGGCGAGCATGGTACGGCGGCCGAGCAGGCTCGAGCAGGCTCTCGTGCCCCGGACAGTTGCGGGGAGAGGGCTGAAGATGGACAGGGTTGCATGGGAGGGGGAGTCCGGGAACCGAGGAGCTGTCAGGGGCCGGGAGGAGGCGGAGACAAAGTCTCGAATTCTGCGAGTGGGAACCTGGGCGGAGCAGGCGCCCTCCTCTGGGATCTGAGCGGGACGGAGGCTGTGGGTGAGAGGCCCCAGCGGTCCTTGCTGTTTCGCTCCCTTTTTCCTCTCCAGCAGCGAAGTTTGACTCTTTCCCCGGTGCTTGCAAAAATAGTCTCCTTAGATCTTTAGCTTCCTGTCCGAGTGTAGTTGCCCGTGCCCCTCCCAGCCCCAGGTCTGGGATCTTGGAAAGAATGACCTAGTTCCTGCCCTGCCCCCAGACCTCAGCCCCACCCCCACGCTCCTGATTCTTCTTCCAGACCTTATGGCCTGTGGACCCTCCCTATTTTCTTTACCCTTTTCCCCCTTCTTATCAGCTGTTTCTGTTTTCTGCAATTCTATCACCTTCTTTCTCTTTCCTCCCCGATTTCTTTATTTTCTCTGTCCTCTTGATTCCTCTGCCTCTCCCCTCTGCTCCCGGTGGATCTCCATCAGACCCCCATCTCATCTTTCTGCCTGTCTGTGGAGCTATGTGCTCCGTCTGTCTCTCCAACTCTCCCTCTCTCCATCTGTCTCTTCCCCTCCCTCCCTCTTTCTGCCCCCCCTCCACCCCCCTCTTTAGTCATTTAAAAAAAGATTTTTGTCTTCCTGAGAAGTTCGCTTAAAAGGTTTCCATGGGAACAGTGAGGGGAGATGAAGGCAGAGAACAGAGATCTGCAGCCAAGGTGCAGAGAGACGCCCTCAGCCCCCCGGAAACCCCCTTGTTACTGCCCCCTACCACTCTGTTCCCCTTCCAGGACCAAGGGTCCAGGTCCTTCATCCCCTCAACCCCTTGTGACCCCTTTCTTCCACCAGCTACCCCTCCCCTCAGGGATCCAGCCTTCCAGTTTCTCTTCCTTGGAGAGAGCCAGTGGCCTGTCTCCATCCCTTGGCTCCCTTCAGCCCTGTTCTCATAGGCCGAGGCCTTACTGCCCTTGGGGACCAGCTCTGGGACCCTGGGCGGATGGGTGGCCAGGGGTGTGTGTCATTGTCATGGAAACTTCTGACCATGGGGGTGTGTGGGTAGCACATCTCTGTGAGGCAAAGCCAGGTGGTGGTGGTGGAGTGTGTACAGAGAATGTGTGTGATGTCTGTCACATCTGTGTGTGAGAGAGAGAGAGAGAGAGAGGGAGTCAGTCATGTCCATGTCTGGGAAAGGTTTGTGTACATGTGTGCATACCTGTGTGTCGAGGCCAGAATGGTCACATGCTTGTGGAGCATGTTTATCATATATCCGGTGGTTGGCGTCTCAGCCCACATATTCACCTTCTTTCTCCTTACCCTCAGTCCTCAGGGTCTGGGGTCTCTGGTGTGGGTCTCCTGTGTGTTTAGGGGAAGGGCACCCATGTGTGTTTGGAGTTGGAGGACGGTATGTGGAGGTGTTTGTGTTGGAGGTTCAATAGGGGTCGGGAGGGGGTCCGGGGGTATATATATTTAGGGGGAGGGTTTAGCAAAAGAGTTGATAGCTGGTGAACGTTTGGGGTTCTCAGGTGGACGTGGAATGTGTAAAGGGCATGGAGGATGTGCTGCAGGGAACATAGGAGTCTTTGGGGCCCTGGGGACCTGGGTCTGAGAAGGTCTGTGCAAAGGCTGTGGACTCTCGAGCCCAGGAGAGGTCGCCGGACCTTTGAGGGGCATTGGCATCCAGGGCTCCTCCTCTGCTGGGTGGAGCCGCAGCCCCTCGTTCCCTCCGAGGTTTTGATGGGGGGTCCTGCTCAGGAGGATGGTGGGAGGCCCGGTTGGTTTTGGGGGTCCCCTCGTCCCCCTCCCGTGTCTCTCTTGCGCTGTCTCCGGGCGACGGGGCTCGTGACAGAGGCGGCCACGGCAGCAGCGGTCGCCTAGCAACGGCGGCGGGGCCCGGGCAACGGCGGCAGCGGCGGGAGCGGCGGCGGAGGGAGCCGTTCCCGCGGCCGTCACCGCTCGGCCGTCCCGGCCGTCCCGGGCCCCGCCGCCGCCCCCACCGCGCCGGGCGGCGCGAGCCGGGCCGCGCCGCCCCCTCTACCGCTGCACCCCGCCCCTCCCCCGCGCAGGGGCGGGGCCCCTCCCCCACCGGGGACATCCCCCCCCGACCCCTCCTGGGGGCGGTGCGAGGTAAGGGCGGGGCCGGGCGGACGAGGAGCGCGCGCGTGGGGGGGCGCCGCGCTCTTGGGGGCGGGGGCGCGTGTGTGCGTGGGCGCCGGGAGGGGGGTGGGGAGGCCGCGGCGGCGGCGGCGGCGGCGGCGGCAGCTGCTCCCTCCGCATGTTCTCGCTGCATCTTCCGAGTGGGGGGAGTTATGGTAACTGGAGGGGGACAGCGGAGGTCGGGGGGTCGGGGACAGGCCTCGTGGGGGCAGGGTCTCGAGCGCGCGGGGGCGGCCGGTGTGGGGTGGTCTTGGAGACCCTCGGTGGAGGTGGCAGCCCGGGTGTCCGCGTGTGTGTCGCTGTCCAGGCTCGTGTCCCCTGTGTGTCGGTGCCATGTGCACACGGGGGCCCAGTTGCTCGTGCACACATGTGCAGCCAGCGGTTTTCAAGTCTGTCCTGTCGTATCTTTCCTCTGCCGGCTTGCTGCCTAGGGGGCTGCTGGGCTGACCACTGGCTTGTGGGGCAGCTTTTGGCCTTACTGGTACCTGTCACCTCTGACCCTGAGAATGCATGTTCCTTGCTGGGGCTCACCTCCTATCAGCCTCCTGTGTGTGGGGATGTGTGGCTGCATGAGAAGGATTTTCTGTGTCCCTGGTGGCAAGTGTGTGTCTTTGCATGTGTGTTCCATCATTGGCCTGGGTATCTGTGTCAATCCCGGCATGGGTGTCCAGGGCGTGTCTGGATGTGGGTGGTGTGCAAGTGGGGGGAGAGAGTAAGTGTGTGAGCGTGTTCCTTGGAATCCTACCATGTATGAAACACCTTTGGGCTAGCAGGTGTGAGCCCCTGCTCGGTTAGGGAGTGGGGACAGAAAAGCTGAAAAGGGAAAGAGCGGGGTAAAGAGGAAAAGTGGGGAGTTGGGTGAGAGGAGGAATGAGAGAGGCTTGCAGAGGAGAGAGAGCCCAGGAGAGAGAATAGCTGGAGAATAGCTGGGAAGGTGGGAGATAGTGGAGCCAGATTTAGAAGAGAGAGAAGAGGTTTTAAGATGGGGAACTGGTTGGAGACAGTGGAGAAGGGGCCTGGAAGCTGGGGAGGCAGCTTGTGGGGCGGAGAGAGTCAGGCCTTCGGTAAAGTGATCTCAGAGGAGAAAGGGCAAGATGGGGTTGGGATTTGTGTAGGCCGTGTAGGATCAGGCTTGGTTGGATCAGGGGAGGCCATCATAGAGGCTGGCTCACAGTGAGGCCTGGCATGGCAGGAACTGCTGTTAGAGGTTCCTGTTTCCAGCACAGAGTTTGCCCCTCATTTCTCTGCTCTCTGTCCAACTCTGTTCCTCCACCTGCTTTGGCAGCCTCCCTTTGTGGCTCCCCTTGAGAGCTGCCAGCTGGGTGTGACAGAGAAGAAAGGCCAAAGGGAAGGTTAGGGATTTGGGGGATTGGAGGGCAAGGGGAGATTCTGTGGATGATGGCAAGATTAGAGAGGTTGGAGAGGTGGGAGTCTAAGCCCTCACTGTGTGTGTGTGTGTGTGTGAGTCCAACTGTGTGTGTATACAGGGTGTGTACATGTGTGGGTGTGTGCACAATGCCTGTGTTACGGGTCTGTGTAGGTGGCTGTTATGCGTGTGCATGCGTGTACATCGTGCAGGGATGGGACATGGAGACCCAGGATCGTGGTGTATGCTTATCAGGTTTGCTCTGTGTGTGGACATGGGCGTGTGCCTGTTTTCTGCACATGTCACTGCATGCAGCACTAATAACAGGATGTCCTGTGATTCTGTCACTCCACCCCTTTTCCCTCTGTGTTTCTGCTCTTTTTTTCACTGTGGCAGTGAGGGTCTTTGTAAGTGTATGTGTATGTGGCCTCCGTGTACCTCTGACTTATATGTGAGTTCTTGGATCTTAGTGCTTGGTTGTACGTATAAGGTTATATTACTTCCAAGAACCAAGCAAACCAATTAGCAAATCCGTTCTCCTTCTGTTAATTCTTTAGTTCCAAAATGTAATTTTAGTGGATTTGAAGTTAGACTTTCTGCCTTTATTACAGGAGCTTGCAAATGGAAATAGTGGCTGAGCTACATTCCATGGCATGAGACAGGCAGCTAGACCTGAGAAAGGCAAGGACTAGGAAGGAGATATTCTGAACCCTTAGATGCATTGTTGAGTGTGTTACAGAAGGGTAATTAACACGTTTGCTCCTTGGTCTGTCTGTATTCTGGTAGCAACCACGGATTCATGTGTTGGAGTCAGGGAAAGGCTGGGGGAGAAGAAGGGGTTGTCCTGAGACAGTGGTTGTGGTTGTACTTCTCATGTGAATGAAGGATGTTTGTGCTTTGGGGATACAGGGATACCTTGATGTGGTCAGGATCATGGTATACTCAAACATGTGGTTTAGAGGTTAAAGTGGCTTCCCCTGTGTGGGGGCCCTGTGTGTGTCTCTGGGTTAAATGTCCCCTTCTGTAACGTGCTGCCCACATGACTGCCGGAGGGACTCGGGCCCCACATCCACACTAGCAGCTCTCATGTGAGTGTCTGGGTCCAAGTATGTACTCCCCTGTTGCAGTGCTCACATATGTCTAAGCATGTATCCTGTGGGGTATCTGGGCCCCAGGGTCTCAGAATGTGGAGCCGTGGCACCCCCCCCCCATTCTCACAGTTGCCTGTATGTCTCATAAGCACCTAGATCCCTTTTTATTTTTTGTATCATGGGTCTTATGTGCACGTACCCCCCACAGCTCGGTGTATGTTTTTGTGCATTACACATGTGTTCCTGAGGGACTAACAAGGGTTCCTGTGTCATGGGAGCCACATTTTTGTGTGCACATCTCCTAACATCCAGGTTTTAAAGGCCTAGGGAAGCTGGAGACTGATTCTAGGGCAATTTGCAGGCGATTTGCAATTCAGGAAGCCGACAGTGAACGTGTAGCTGTGGCCCTCCCTTGTTTTGGAAACTAGAGGGTTAACAGGCAGCTCTTCCGGTCCATCCCCCCCCCCCCCCCCCCCCCCCGCCCCCCCCCCTGTTTTGGCCCCCCCGGGGTGCCCCGGCCCCCCCCCCGCCCCCCCCCCCCCCCCCCCCCCCGGCATGTAGCTTCTTGTTGCCATGGAGATGGTAGCCCCGCCCCTGATGCAGCACCTGCCCCCCCATTGGCTGCAGTGGTGACTGTGGGGCTGAGGGGGGAGCCCAGGCCTGGGCAGCCATTCTGGAGCTGGAGCCCGAGCTTGGCATCCCCCCACTTTCATTCTCCTCTAGCCACTTGGCCCCTCTAAATTCCCTGGCAGCAGAGCCTCAGCTTCCCTCCTCCCAGCTGCCACCCTTCTTGACTCTGAGCAGTCTGAGCTTCATCGGCATTCATCTCCCCTCCTCCTCCTCTCCCTGCCCTCACTTGGGAGTCCCCCGAGTCCCCATTGCCCATCGTCCCCACTCCCTGCCCGTTCCCCTGCATTCTTCTCTTTTCCCCTTTCCCCCTTCACTTCTGAGTCCCTGCCACTGCAGTGCACGTGGAACCAGCCCCTTCTCCCCTCCCCCCCACCCCTTCCTTGAATTTTCAGTCCCCAGGCTTTTTCCGCTTCCACTCCTCACAGGTCCCTTCCAAGACTTCCCCCTCCAGTCCAGGGAGGGGGTCATGGGAGGTAGCTCTGGCCCTCCAGACAGACAGGGGTTCCAGGAGTAGGGGCCAGGTGGAAGTTGTACCCAGCTGAGGGAGGAGGAAGGCCTGCCTCTGGTCAATGACCTTTAACCCGACTTTCCCCACCAGCTCGCCCCTTCCTGGGGGGGTGGGCACCAAGGACCTAGGTTCTGTGGATCTTCGGTGTCCTTTATTCCTGGAGTTTTACTGACCCTCTCAGCCATGCCCCTTTGCTGACTGCCAGGCCCAGCCCCAGTCATGGGCCTAAGGCCTCCCACTCCGTCCCCCTCCGGGGGCTCCGGCTCGGGTTCCTTGCCCCCTCCTTCCCGCCGCCAGCTTCTCAGCCGCCGCTGCTCTTCCTGCTGCTTTCCGGGGGGTAGGTGAGGCTGGAGCTAAGGGGCAGAGGGAGGTGGGCGAGTGTGCTGGGGCCAGGGGTGGAAACCTGGGCTAATGGCAACCCCCTCCCCAACTTCTGTTCCGGCCCTTTTCTCCCCTCCAGAATACCACTTGGGTCGCTCGAGGAGGAAGAGCGTCCCAGGGGGGAAGCAGTACAGCATGGAGGCCGCCCCCGCTGCACCCTTTCGGCCCTCGGTGAGTGAAGGCACCTGCCAGATGTGGCTCAGCTGGGTCTCCTCCCCTCCAGCCCCAGCTGGAGCCTGAGGATTATGAGAAAGGAGGAAGGAGGGGAGAGAGAGAGTATGTGTGTGTGTGCCCCCACCTCTTTGGTTTCCCCCTTCTTGGCTCTGCCCCCCTGCTTCTCAGACCAGCCCTCCCACCTTCTCCAGGCTGGGGTGTGTGTGTGTGTGTGTGTGTGTGTGTGTGTGTGTGTGTACACTCGCATCCATGAGAGCACAGGAAGACAAACTGGCAGCAGGGCTCCTATCCCCCTTTCCTCGCCTCTAGAGATTTCCCTTTTCCCCCCATCCCACCTTCATCCAGGGACTCTTTACCAGCTGAGCGGTGAGGAGGTAGAACTGACCCTACCCCAAAACACACCTATCCCCATTTCCCCCCCACCCAGCAAGGCTTTCTGAGCCGGAGGCTAAAAAGCTCCATCAAACGTACGAAGTCACAACCCAAACTTGACCGGACCAGCAGCTTTCGCCAGATCCTGCCTCGCTTCCGAAGTGCTGACCATGACCGGTACAGGGCTTGGAGCGGTGGGCTAGAGCGGGGTGGGATGAGTTGGATGCAGTGTAGGGGCCTCCAGAGTGAGGCTGGAGGGGTGGGGGTTCTCAGAGTGTAGAGCTTGACGGCTTCAGATTGATTGAGAGGTGTGGTGGGACAGGGGTCAAAACAGAGGAGCAGCAGGAGAGGGGCTTGGTGCAGGGTGCCCAGAGAGGGTGAGCAGCGGGGCAGGAAAGGGGGTGAAGGTGAAGCCAAGGAGGGGTGGACTCTTCTGACCGTCAGAAGGATGGGCTCCAGCCCAGGATGGAAGGAACTGTACAGAAGGACGGAGAAGGAGTGACGGAGCCTGGGAGGAACATTTAAGGAATCCAGGGAAGGGGTGGTGGGCTGGTTGGTAGGAGGGGAGAGTGTGATCCAGGTAGAGGGTATGAGAAAAGGGTGGTAGGGTGGGGTGGGGCTGGCAGGTATTATGGAGGAGAGAAGGTGCAGCGTAGAGCGTGACAGAGAAGGGGAGGTGGCACGGGTATGCAGGTCAAAAGACTGGGGAGGGGAGGTTGGAGGGTTAATCCATGGACTGAAGCCTGAGGAAGAAGCCCGCAGAGAAGTCCAGAGGGCACTGTCTCCGAGGCTGGGCTTGAAGGAAATCTTGTTTGCTCCTGTGGTCTGCTCTTTGGGGTCCCTCTTTGGGTTTCCCCCTCACCCAGTCCACCCCCCCCCCGCCCCAGGGAGAACCCTGTCCTTCCTTTCCCCCCATGTCTGGCCGCCCCCGGGATGGGGCAGGTAGGGGAGGTTGGGATAGGTGAGTCACACCTTCCCTCCCCCTTCCCATGTCACCGGAGCTGGATTTGGGGAGGGGGGGTGTGAGGGCCTGGTATTCCTGGCCGCGGGGGTGGGGGGCCGGGGGAGCGTCGTGCTGACGGCAACAGAGCCCAAGATGACGGGGCTGCTATAAATAGCTCCATGGAGGCTCCCACACCCGAGCTCCCCCTCCCGCTTCCCTACTGCTCTCTACTCTTCATCCCCTAGCCGGCTGCGAGCAAACTGTCCTGTGGTCCCGGCCTCCACTCCCCTCAGTTCCTTTCACCTTCTGCCTTCCCTGTGGTCCCGGCCTCCACTCCCCTCAGTGCCTTTCACCTTCTGCCCTCCTGCACTGCTTTTCCCAAGTTCGTCCCCACCCCACCCCCCACCCCATCCCCCACCTCTGTTCCCACATCCAGCTCTCCAGTGGCCTCTCCTCATCTTCTCCCATCCTGTCTTTCTGCACACACCTTTCCCTCCTCCTTTTCTCCTTCTCGCCCTATCTGTTCTTCCCCAGTCCCCATTTTCAGTCCCTTATCTCCATTGTCACTCTTCTGCCCAAAATCCTTCTTCTATTTCTTATGATTTTCCCTCACTCTTTCCCATGATTCTGCTAAAACTTGTCCTCTTAGCTCGTTCATTTTTGGATTTATTAAGTGCTTTTTAGGCACTACCTGTGTGCCAAGGCCCAGACCAGCATCTTTGAACTTCTACTTCTTTCTTTTTAAAATTTATTTATTTTAGGCTGCATTGGATCCCCGTTGCAGTGCGCGGGCTTTCTCTAGTTGCGGAGAGTGGGGGCTGCTCTTCATTGCGGTGTGCCAGCTTCTCATTGCGGTGGCTTCTCTTGTTGCGGAGCACAGGCTCTAGAGCGCAGGCTCAGTAGTTGTGGCACATGGACTCAGTAGTTGTGGCTCACGGGCTGTAGAGTGCAGGCTCAGTAGTTGTGGCACACAGGCTTAGTTGCTCCGCAGCATGTGGGATCTTCCCGGACCAGGGCTTGAACCCGTGTCCCCTGCATTGGCAGGCGGATTCTTAACCACTGCACCACCAGGGAAGCCCCTGTACTTCTGGTTCTTTACTCCCACCTTTTCCCCCTTATACTGAAGCTGTGGTTTTGGCAGGGGAGGTGTCACATAGAAGTCCCACCTAGAAGTGTCCAAGGCCCACCTGTTCTTTTTTTTTTCTTCCATGGTCCCTTTCTGGGTTGAGATATTTCTAGGTGTCCCCAGTCCTCACAACCCCTTAGGTGGTGGGCTGAGGGGAGGGGATTTCTTAAAGGGTTCTCATTTCTCTCACATCCTTCATGTCCTTCCCCGGGGATAGGCTGGGTTTCTTTCTGTCCGTGTCTGTGTCCATGTGGGAAGTGGGTTTAGGAGCCCCTTTCCCCAGGTCTCCATCCTAGAGCCAGGTTGGCGATGCAAGCCTGTGAGTGTGTAAGCAGAGTGGGGCCCTGATTCTCCCTCCTGGACCCCCGCCTGCCAGGGCCCGGCTGATGCAGAGCTTTAAGGAGTCGCACTCTCACGAGTCCTTGCTGAGTCCTAGCAGTGCGGCCGAGGCCTTGGAGCTCAACCTGGATGAAGATTCCATTATCAAGCCAGTGCACAGCTCCATCCTGGGCCAGGAGTTCTGTTTTGAGGTACTGGGTGTAGGGGGCTGGGGAGGGCCAAAGGGCAGGGGTCACGGAGGGGGAGGGCAGAGAGTCCTGGAGAAAGCGGCAGAGGTGGGGACATCAAGGAAACAGAAGCCTCTGGGGCTGAGAGAAAGGAGGATAGGCCGGGGAGGAAGAGATGGTGATGGACTCTCAGTCCTTGGGAGTCATCACCCCTCTAGAGCCCCAACTGACCTCCACACCCCTTTCTAGGTAACAACATCATCAGGAACAAAATGTTTTGCCTGTCGTTCTGCGGCCGAAAGGGACAAATGGATCGAGAATCTACAGCGGGCAGTAAAACCCAACAAGGTATTGGGAGTACAGGGTACACAGACAGCATGGGCAAGGCAAAGGTCAAGCTGCAGGGGAAACTGGGGGCCTAGGGGAGAAGGGGACCAAGGAGGAGGGGACCCCCATTTTCCTCTGAGTCCCCCATTTCTTTTTCCTTTCTTTCTACCTTATGATGTTTCCCTACCATAGAAATCATAGACTTATGGAACTGATGGGGCTCTGGAAGTCCTCTGGTGCATCTTCCCTGCAAGCAGGGATGTCCCACTAATACCCTGACAGGTGGGCGCCCGGCCCCGGCTTGCAGTGTTTCTGCAGGACACATAGATTTGTCAGGTAGATGAGTCTTTAGACCTTGGTTTCCTCTCTGTATGACTGGTAGGAATGGGGTTGAACTACATAATCTATAAGGTCCCTTTGGCTCAAAAATTCTGAGTTTGTGTTCTTCCCAGGAGGAATGCTCCCAGTTCCGTGAGCTGTTCTCTGTTTCCCAGTTTCCAGTGAGCTCACAGTCCTCGTGGCCTCCTCTGTGGGAACCTTGTTTGTCAATGTTCTTCTTAAAAACTAGACCCAAGATGCTGGATGTGATCTGCCCCATGCAGAGTACAAACACCAGGCTCTTTTCACACTGCAGCATCACCTGAGCCTCACTGGTCATTGTCATCCTCCAGGCCCTTTTCACACTAACTGTATAGTTTCACCTGCTGCAATTATGCATATTTTGCAATTATTTTCCGATTGTCTTTAAAGGACTCCTCAGTTATCCTGTTCAAATTCCACCTTAATATTTTGGGTTTATTATTCTAGCTTTCAAAATCTTTTCTCAGTACTAATTCTGTCGTCTGATGTATGAGCTCCCTCTGTATCAGTTTCCTGTGGCTGCTGTAACAAATTACCACTCTCTGGACTGCTTAACACAACAGAAATTTATTCTCTGACAGTTCAGGAGATTGGAAGTCAAAAATCAAGGTGTCAGCAGGGCCTTGCTCCCTCAGAAGCTCTAGGAAGAATCCTCCCTTGTCTCTTCGTACCTTCTGGTGGTTGCCGGCAGTCTCAGGCATCCCTTGACTTCTTGCTGCATCTGTGCACTTTCTGCCTTCATCTTCATATCGTCATCTCCCCTCCTGTGTCTCTGGTCTCCAAATCTCCCTCTCCATATAGACCCCAGTCATTGGATTTAGGGTCCACCCTCATCCAGTACGACCATGTCTTAAGTGACTATAGTCACTTAATGTGACTATAAAATATGAATTCTGGGGTGACCCGGTTTAATCCCGCACACGCCTTCTCAGCCCTGTGATTGCTGGTGTCGGAGACTATCTGGCTTTTTCACCGTCTCTCCTCTTTTGGTGTCTCTGTCTCTCTGTCCCTTCCCCTTCATCTGCCGCGCCTGCCCTACCCTGGCAGGACAACAGCCGCCGGGTGGACAATGTGTTGAAGCTGTGGATCATAGAGGCGCGGGAACTGCCCCCCAAGAAGCGGTACTATTGCGAGCTCTGCCTGGATGATATGCTGTATGCACGCACCACCTCCAAGCCCCGCTCGGCCTCGGGGGACACCGTCTTCTGGGGCGAGCACTTCGAGTTCAACAACCTGCCAGCCGTCCGGGCCCTGCGGCTGCACCTGTACCGTGACTCAGACAAAAAGCGCAAGAAGGACAAGGCGGGCTATGTCGGCCTGGTGACTGTGCCTGTGGCCACCCTGGCTGGGCGCCACTTCACAGAGCAGTGGTACCCCGTGACCCTGCCGACAGGCAGTGGGGGCTCCGGGGGTATGGGGGGCTCGGGAGGGGGAGGGGGCTCAGGGGGTGGCTCAGGGGGCAAGGGCAAAGGAGGTTGCCCGGCTGTGCGGCTGAAAGCGCGTTACCAGACAATGAGCATCCTGCCCATGGAGCTGTATAAGGAGTTTGCAGAGTATGTCACCAACCATTATCGGATGCTGTGTGCGGTGTTGGAACCCGCCCTGAATGTCAAGGGCAAGGAGGAGGTCGCCAGCGCGCTGGTTCACATCCTGCAGAGTACGGGCAAGGCCAAGGTGAGTACTGGGCCCTCAGGACAAGGTGACCTGGGAGTGCACACTCGTGGGGATAGTAAGGGTAGGGTACATCTGTCTTCATCAGCTTGGGTTGGACAGAGGCTGACCCTTGGCTTTTCCTGGCCCCCAGGACTTCCTTTCAGACATGGCCATGTCCGAGGTGGACCGGTTCATGGAACGGGAGCACCTCATATTCCGCGAGAACACGCTCGCCACTAAAGCCATAGAAGAGTACATGAGACTGATTGGTCAGAAATACCTCAAGGATGCCATCGGTATGGCCTACCCACAGGTGTTCTTCCTAAACCTGCCAGATGCCCACCCCAGCCCTAAATGTAGCTACTCCAGACCCCAAGTCCACCCTGCCTCAGCTTGATGCTTCTGGGCCCAGAGCCCCCTCCAACCTGATTCTAAGATTCCCCAAACCCTGGCAGCCCCTGTCCCTGCCCTTCGAAAGTGTGACCGCCCTCCGCTGTGCCCCCATCTCCACAGGGGAATTCATCCGTGCTCTGTATGAATCTGAGGAGAACTGTGAGGTGGACCCCATCAAGTGCACGGCGTCCAGTCTGGCAGAGCACCAGGCCAACCTGCGGATGTGCTGTGAGTTGGCCCTGTGCAAGGTGGTCAACTCCCATTGGTGAGACTGGGAACCCTGGGTTGGGGGGACAGGGTTGGGGGAGTCGTGTGTTCATCTGTTCATCCATCTGTCCATCTTCAAAGAGGACTGAGAACCAGTTATGGGCAAAGCATTGTACTTGGTGCTGTAGAGCAGACAGAGAGCCATGAGGCTTGGCCCCTGCCCTCAGAGGACCTGCACCAGAATGAGTAGGGACAGATTAGATACACAGAAAGCCACAGAACGGTACAGTATGTGTTAAGTTCCAAGTGAAGGTACCCCCTCCCCACGCCTCCGCAATGCAACATAAGGTCAGAGAAGGCAGATCTTTGACTGAGATAAGCAGGGAAGGCTTCGTGGAGGAGGTGCCCCCATGGCTGTGCTTGGAAGACTAGGTCAGGTTCTGATGTATAGATATGGTGGGCTGAGAAGACGTTTCGGGAGAAGGCTGTGGAACAGGCCCACGCGTGAAGGTGCGAGGTCCTGGGACAGCAGGCAGAGGTAGTTTAGTGGAGTGTGTGGCTCACAGTGGAGAGTGATGGGAGACGTGTCTGGACAGGGCGAGGAGAGTTAGAATCTGAAGGCCTCCGCTGCCAGGTAAAGGAGTTGGAGCTCATTGGTAGGTCGTGGGATGCCAAGCAGTATCATGATTGAGAAGGTTAATTCTTAAATGGAGGTGGGTGTGGCAGGTGGCTGGAGTAGGGAGAATGAAGTCCAGGCTAGTTGGGGATTGTTGTTAATGGTTCAGGCATGGAAATCATAGCCTGAATCAGGATGGTAGCAGGAAAAGTAGAAAGGGGCTACTGTAAGGACCCTCTGCGGAAAGGATCACCAGGAGTCACTGGGTAATTGGAAAGGAGGGGGCATGTCTGTGGGGAGCAAGGACGACTCCCAAGGCCATGAGGCTGGTGGTTGGGAGACTGGTGGCCTCACTGACAGAACTGGGGAGTCAGGAGGGGGAGCCCAGTGGAGGTTGGAGATGTGGGGGGCGATGCTGAGCTCACTTTACACCAGTTAGAGTTTAAGGTGTCAATGGGACATTGAAGAGGAGGACCAGGGAGGTGGGAAGAGTGAGCTCTGAGCCATTCCAGGGACTGGGGATCATGCTTGGGACACCTCCATCCCCATTTCCCTGGAATCCAGAAGAGTTGGGGGGTCCGAGCTCCCTGTACCTCGAGTGACCCTCCATCTCTCTCCCATCTCTGTCTCTCCCTGGTGTCTTTCTTCTCCTCCTCTCCTTGTCTCTCTCACACTTGCCCCTGTCTCTCTCCCGCGTGTCCCTCTCCCCTCACCTCCTCTCCCCTCCATTCTCTCTCCCTACCCTGTCTGTCCCCTCTGTCCCCTCTGCCATAGCCCTCTTCCTCCAGCAGCCTCCTGTCCTTCTCCTGCGCTCCCGCCCTCCTCCCTCCCTGTCGCTCTCACCTCTGTGAGGGTTCCACACCCTCACCTCCTTCCACCCCCCTCAGCATGTTCCGTGGAAGCTGAGGGTCTCTGGGGCTCAGTCCCGGTCTCTCTCTTTCTCTCTCTCTCTCTCTGTCTCCCCACCCCGTCCCCTCAGCGTGTTCCCGAGGGAGCTGAAGGAGGTGTTTGCGTCTTGGCGGCTGCGCTGCGCAGAGAGGGGCCGGGAGGACATCGCAGACCGGCTGATCAGCGCCTCGCTCTTCCTGCGCTTCCTCTGCCCGGCCATCATGTCACCCAGTCTCTTTGGGCTCATGCAGGAGTACCCAGATGAGCAGACCTCGCGAACCCTCACCCTCATCGCCAAGGTCATCCAGAACCTGGCCAACTTTTCCAAGTGAGGGAAGCCTCAGGCTGGGTGTCAGACGGGGCTGGAGTGGGCAGGAAGGGTCTCCCGAGTCCCTAGAGACAGGCGTGGGTTGGAGGCCTTCTGGGTGTGACCTGTACCTTCTGGATGCTTTGGCCAGGTTTACCTCAAAGGAGGACTTTCTGGGCTTCATGAACGAGTTTTTGGAGCTGGAGTGGGGTTCCATGCAGCAGTTCCTGTACGAGATCTCCAACCTGGACACACTGACTAATAGCAGTAGCTTTGAGGGTTACATCGACCTGGGCCGAGAGCTCTCCACGCTGCACGCCCTGCTCTGGGAGGTGCTGCCCCAGCTCAGCAAGGTGAGCATAGGCCCCTTGGCCCGTCCTCAGGTCGCCAGAGGCTCCTGTGGCCCGGAGACCACCCCCTGCGCAGATTCTTCCCCCCTCCTGTTCCCAGACATGTCACTGCCACTTCCAATGCCACTTCCTCAGCTCAGACTCCTTCTACCTGAACTCTCTGAGACTCCCTTAAAGCTGGGCTATTAGCCCGCAGGTAATAGCCTCCCCATTCCAGGAAGCCCTCCTGAAGCTGGGCCCACTGCCCCGGCTCCTCAACGACATCAGCACAGCTCTGAGGAACCCCAACATCCAACGGCAGCCAAGCCGTCAGAGCGAGCGGCCCCGGCCTCAGCCTGTGGTGCTGCGGGGCCCTTCGGCCGAGATGCAGGGCTACGTGATGCGGGACCTCAACAGGTGAGCACCCAGGACCCCAGGCCTGTGCCCTAGGCGCCCTTATGCTTCTGTCCTGGATACACTCCACTGGGCCCCATGTGCCTTTCTCGAGGGCTTGAAAGAAAGGAAAGAGAAGCATTTTCTCAGAGAGAACGGTAAGGAGACAGGTCCAGTTAGTAGTTAGCTGCAAGCCAGAGGGAGCAAGGAATGTAGAGCCCCCCAAAACATGCTGAGATTCCGCCAGCTCCAGCCTGGCATAAGCCTAGGAGGCCCCTCTCCCTGCTCAGAGCTGGTGTTCAGCCTGTACACTTGGACCAGCCACCTGGTGTCAGAACATTCAGATAGCTCTGTATTAGTTGGTAAAGCAGCACCATCCCCAGCCCCGCCACCAGGACCCCTCAGACCTTGCCCCGATTCAGCACTACAGCAGTAGCCCCTGGACCCCACCCCGCAGAGCCTCCCCACCACAGCCTCCAGGCTGGGAGGCGCACAGAGCCACAGCTGCCGCTCGTTGTTTTGATGACCATCCTGCTCATTCCTCTGCCCGCATCTCTCCCTCCATGATACCATACCCATCCCACCATCCCCGCCTCTCCTTCCACACATCCCCAACTTCCACCTGCCTCTCTCTTTCTCTCTGTCTGTGCTCGTCCCTCTTCCCATCTCTCTCCAGCTCCATCGACCTTCAGTCCTTCATGGCTCGAGGCCTCAACAGGTGAGGGGCTCTCCCCTCCCCCGCCCTCTCCTCTCCTGTCTGCTCCCCCGCCAACCCCGACTCCAGTGGCCATCACCTCCCTCCGCTCCTCTTCTCCTCCATGCGCCCTCATCTCCTCCACATCTGCCCAGACCTGCCCCTCATGCCTCCTCCTGCTGCCCCATCTCCCCTTCTCCAGGCCTCCCTCCCATCCCCCCAGCCTGCCTGCCCTCTCCCGAGCTGCAAACGTCAGCTCTCAGCCCTTCCTTGCGGGTCCCACTCTTCACCCCAGGCCTATGCTGGACCACAGAGGCTCTACTGCTAGTAGCCTGGGTCTTACCTCCCACTCGTGTGCCCGCTTCCCTTCCTGCAGCTCTATGGACATGGCTCGCCTCCCCTCCCCAACCAAGGAAAAGCCCCCCCCACCGCCGCCTGGTGGGGGGAAAGACCTGTTCTATGTCAGCCGCCCACCCCTGGCCCGGTCCTCACCTGCGTACTGCACGAGCAGCTCGGACATCACAGAACCGGAGCAGAAGATGCTGAGTGTCAACAAGAGCGTCTCCATGCTGGACCTGCAGGGTGACGGGCCCGGTGGCCGCCTCAACAGCAGCAGTGTGTCCAACCTGGCAGCCGTAGGGGACCTGCTGCACTCGAGCCAGGCCTCCCTGACTGCGGCGTTGGGGCTGCGGCCCGCACCTGCTGGCCGCCTCTCCCAGGGGAGCGGCTCATCCATCACAGCGGCCGGCATGCGTCTCAGCCAGATGGGCGTCACCACGGACGGTGTCCCTGCCCAGCAACTGCGCATACCCCTCTCCTTCCAGAATCCTCTCTTCCACATGGCTGCTGATGGGCCAGGCCCCCCAGGGGGCCACGGAGGGGGCGGAGGCCACGGTCCACCCTCCTCCCATCACCACCATCACCACCATCACCACCACCGAGGTGGAGAGCCCCCAGGGGACACCTTCGCCCCATTCCATGGCTATAGCAAGAGCGAAGACCTCTCCTCAGGGGTCCCCAAGCCCCCCGCTGCTTCCATCCTCCACAGCCACAGCTACAGTGATGAGTTTGGACCCTCTGGCACTGACTTCACCCGTCGGCAGCTCTCACTCCAGGACAACCTGCAGCACATGCTGTCTCCACCCCAGATCACCATTGGTCCCCAGAGGCCCGTTCCCCCAGGGCCTGGAGGTGGGAGCGGCAGTGGGGGCAGCGGCGGGGGTGGCGGGGGCCAGCCGCCTCCGTTGCAGAGGGGCAAGTCTCAGCAGTTGACAGTCAGCGCTGCCCAGAAACCCCGGCCGTCCAGCGGGAACCTGTTGCAGTCGCCGGAGCCAAGTTATGGCCCTGCCCGTCCGCGGCAGCAGAGCCTCAGCAAAGAGGGCAGCATTGGGGGCAGCGGGGGCAGCGGCGGCGGAGGGGGTGGGGGGCTCAAGCCCTCCATCACCAAGCAGGTAGGTGGGGGTGGGAGGAAGGCCGGAGGGGTGAAGAGCAGGGAGGGAAGAAGGAAACGGGTTGGGGGGGGTGGTAGAACAGAGACTGTGGTTTGAAGTTACAATTTTCTCACGTCCTTTCATTCATTAAACAAATGTTCATAGAGGGCTTGCTTTGCGCCACGTGCTGTTCTAGGCACTGTGCACTTGGCAGTGAACGACAGACAAAACTCCCTGCCCTCATGGGGCTCCTGAGGGGAGATATGATGAATAACTAATATAGCTTTCACGAGGTGATGGGTGCTAGTGCAGGGGACAGGCTGGGGACTCTCATCTAGTGCGGGGGAAAGGAAGGGGACTCTCGTCTCTTTGGGCAGTGCTCCCTCCCTCTAAAAGCACTCCGCCTCCTCCCACCTTCCCTCTCTCCTTCTGCCCCCACCTTGCCCTGTCCCAGCATTCTCAGACGCCATCCACACTGAACCCCACGATGCCAGCCTCCGAGCGAACGGTGGCCTGGGTCTCCAACATGCCTCATCTGTCAGCTGACATTGAGAGCGCCCACATCGAGCGGGAAGAGTACAAGCTCAAGGAATACTCGAAGTCCATGGACGAGAGCCGGCTGGATAGGGTACGCAGGGCCCTCCCTGCCCCAAACCCCGTCTTACCCTTTACCCACAGGGCAGGCTTCTAGTCCCTTCCAAGGGCAACATCTGTGGTCAGGTAGTTACGATGAAAAAGAAAGGACAAAGACCCGATGTCTTCTCCTGAGAAGCCCTCAGTCTGTCAGGGGAGGCCAGATACAGTCCATTGAAAAACCCATTTCAACTCTGTTATTTTGGGTTACACACATCATAGACTGTCTGGGGAAAAGCATGCTGTATATTAGGCTGTCTCTGTGTTCTTCCCCGGGGAGAACATGTTGAAGCCCTGGCTCCTGTGACTTCTCAGGAAAGGGGAAGGTACTTCACTAGCAGTGGGAGCTGTACATTGGGCGAGGGGCAGAGTGGTCATACCAGGACCCATGCATGGCTTACCCAGTCACTGTTCTGTGGGCATCGGTGACAGAGGGTTGGTGGTTAGGGGGAGGGTGGTGTGTATTGGCCCACGTGTGGAAAGACTGTCCAGACTCTCAGCTGGTGTTGGTCCCGAGCAAAAGTCAGCAGGAGCTCTGGCCTTCACACACTTAGCAGAAAGTTCCTTGGGAGCCATTGCTGTGAGGACCCTGAAGAAGAGGGTAGCTACAGGGTTAGATTATATATACAGAATACATGACTGCAACTTGGGGAAGCAGAGAGGCTTTTGGGGAGAAGTGGTCTTTGAGCAAAGGAAAATGTTGGGATTGATGTAGATGGACTTGAGCTAAGAGAATATCTTCAGGCCTTATAATAAATTATTTCCAGCACCATTTAACAAGCTGAGGCCAAAATGCATTCCACGTGTGTCCGTGAGTCTGTCTAGGCTCCTGTGTGGGTCCTCCTGTGTCCAGATGCACATGTGAGGGCATGTGTGTACCTCTAGGGTGGGAGAGTCCACCATTTTGCTCCATCTTGAGGGAGCCTCAGCCCCACGGAAGGGCCTTCTTAAAGGCCAGTTGTGTGTGTGTGTATGACCAACAGGCAGAGAAGGGCTGGAGGAGGCTGGTGGGGTGTCCCTCACCACATGGCGGCTGTGCTTGGCAGGCAGGGGTACAGGCTGGGTGGTGGGGTCAGGCACAGCCCCCCTCACAGTGCGGGGTCGTGTGCCCGGCGGGCAGGTGAAGGAGTATGAGGAGGAGATCCACTCACTGAAGGAGCGGCTGCACATGTCCAACCGGAAGCTGGAAGAGTATGAGCGGAGGCTGCTGTCCCAGGAAGAACAGACCAGCAAAATCCTGATGCAGTATCAGGCCCGGCTGGAACAGAGCGAGAAGAGGCTAAGGCAGCAGCAGGCAGAGAAGGACTCACAGATCAAGAGCATCATTGGCAGGTGAGGGGCGGCCCGGGGAGGAGTGGCAAGGGAGAGCCTGAGGCTGAAGAAGGCCAGCGAGCTCCCCCCAGCCCCCAACCACCATCCCCCATCCCCCAACGCAGGACACCAGGAGGAAAGCCCACTACCCTCCTCCCAGGGTTGTCACCCACTCCGTCATCACCAGATGGAGAGAAACCTCCCGCTTAGTGCATTAAATGTCCCTTTACTAAACCCTGATCTCTCTCCTAGTAGAGTAACTTCTGAAGCCCTTGGAAAATGTACCTCTTACTGTCCAACCATCTCTCTCTGTCTGGATCTGGCCTAGCCTGGGACTCCCCACTGGTTATTCTCAACTCAGCCTGTAATGTTCACCCCAAATCTAAGCAGGGGTCCCTTGACCATAGTAGCCCCTGACCGTCCCATCCTGGGCCCACCCTCCTCTGCAGCCGTGGAAAGGTATTCCATCAGAAAGTAAATGACGCTTGTTATAGCCTGTGCTCTGTCAAGCCCTGGGCTCCAAGGAGGTGCCTCAACAAGGGGATCAGTTAGCTTGAGAACTGGGTAGGACCCCCACTCCAACCAGAGCCAGCTCCATTTCCACGCATTCTAAATGTATTTTTGAGTAAGATTAATTAGAAGAAAAAGGTTTGACTGGAAACCTTTTTGAAAACCACTGCTTTGATATCCTTTATGAGAAGTTACCTTAAGAATCTTCACAGAAGGCAAGGAGAGTCCGGGAATGATGATTGTAGAGACCCCTCTTGGGCGAGGGGTGTCTAGGGGCTGCCCTGGAGATGGCCTAGTTTCGGTGAGATGGGGTGGGGGATGGAGAAGCCAGGTCTTCAGCCACAGGGTGTGAGGGACGGCACGGTCCTGAGTGGGAGCGCAGAGGGCCAGGGTGCCTGGTGGTAGGTAGGGGGTCTCTGAGGCACAGAAACGCGTACTTAGCAGGGAGATGCGAGCGTCCCTGAAAGGAAGGTGAATGACAGGGCGTCTTTTGGAGTCAGAACAATGGAGGGATTCTGAGCGCGGGGGAGAAGGATGCCCAAGGCTTTTCCAGAGAGCTGTGGGGTTCCCCGGGATCGTGAGCTCCCCAGGCAGGCTCCGTGCCCGTGCCCGCCACTAACCCCACTGAAGCCCGTCCCTTCAGGCTGATGCTGGTGGAGGAGGAGCTGCGCCGGGAGCACCCCGCCATGGCTGAGCCGCTGCCCGAACCCAAGAAGAGGCTGCTCGACGCTCAGGTGGAAATTACAATGTCATTTATCTTCTCCGTGTCCCATCCCCATCCATCCCACTGTCCTTCGTGCAGTCACTGCACCAGCCACCCCAGCCCCATCGCCATCCGTCTCTCCCATTGTTCTCCGTTTGTCCACTGGCTGCTCCCGGCAGCCCCCAAGCGACCCCATTTTCATCCCATTGTCTGTGCCTTTGTCACTCCCAGCAGTGTCAGCCCCCCTCCCCTGCCGTGCCACCCCACCCTGCCTTTCCCACTTCTGTTTGCGTTTCAGGACCTTCTACCAGAACCTCAGACCCCACCAAGTTCCTGGACCCCTGCCCCTGCTGGGCCCACCCCTGTGTGAGTCAGGGAGTTTGGCTTCCTCTGAGCTCCTCTCGGGACAGGAGGGCCAGAGGCTGCAGTTTGCTAGAACAGAGCCCAGGGCAGTAGGAGTGCTAGTGTCCCCAGGCTCCGGCTGGTGCCCTGGGGACTTGGGGTACTCGTCACCGCTGTTCTCTGGGCCCCGCAATCCCCATCACTCCTTGACAGCCGCCACTGGGCCTCCTATTCCCGACTCCTCAGATCCTGAAAGCCCCCTGTCCTGTAAGCTCTCCCTTCCTTCCCTCGGTGTTGAAGGCTTAGCCGCCTTCTTTGGCCTGCCTCTCCCTGTGATCCTCACTCCTGACTGGCCTCTCCAGCTCCTGGCTGCTCTTCCTCTCTCTCACCAGCCAACCTTTAGGACCTCCCTCCTGCCCCCTTAACCCCTCGTTCTCCCCCAATTCTGCTCACTTCCCACCCATGCTCCTCTTTCCTCTGCTCTGACCTCCAGGCTTCCCCCCCAGCACCACCAAGGCTCCTGACCCCATGACCCCACTCTCTCCCCCTGCAGCTCCTCATCAGGTAATTCTCCTGGTTCCGCTTTGACCACGGGCGGAGGACACAGGGGGAGGTGACTCCGGACCACTGCAGGTTGGTCGTGAAGCCCACTCCCTTCTGACTCTCCGGAGCCTCTCCCCTGCTCACTGCTGCCCCCCACACCCGAGGACCTCTACAGGCCCGACCCTCCGGACACCTCCTGCACAGACCTGTCTCCCCAGGCATTGTCCCAAGAGCACTTCCTGCCGCCTCCCAGAACTGTTCAGCGATACCTGACCAGTACCAAGCACCTTACCCTAGATGGCCCACACATCCCCCAGATCACACTCCCCTTCCTACACACCTCCCCGCGGCCTCCTCCTGACTCTCAGTCCTCCTCCTCTACCTCTCCAGTGTATGTCTGTCACCCCCCATTTCACCAAAGCGTCCTTGGGGGTTGGGATGTTGGGGTCAGGGTTTGTTAAAGGGGTGGTGGTGATGCTGGGTTGGGGGCCCCTGGCTAAAGGGGCTGTGCTGGCTGCAGCAGGTAGGCTGGGGTTTCCTCTTCCTTCTCCCACACCTTGGTTCTGTAGAGAGCCCTCCTTCCTCCCACCCCTCACCTGATTCTCTCTCTTTCTCCTTTCTTACATCTGTGAGGTAGAAGGCATCTGGGGTTCCTATTCAGCCCCATTGGGTGGGAATTAAGAGTGGGTAATTAATTAAGGGAGACTTTGGGGTGCTGGGAAAGGATGCTGTTCAGATGTCGGGACAGTAAGGGTGAGTGGAGCAAGGAGGAGCGAGAAAGGAACCTTGACAGATGTTAGGATGTGGACTGGTGCATGTGGCATTGGGAGTTGGAAGTGGGGGGAGGTGTCTTCCTAAATAAGATCGTGGGCTCTGTAGCCATGTTGATTCCAGGCAGAGATGCCAGAACCAGCAGATTAAATAACCTCTCGTCAGTGCTCACAGCCCTGGGCTGCTAATGCCACTCACTCCCCCTCTCCCGCCACCCAGTGGCCTTGCTGGACACAGAATCCTACCTGAAGAGCCAGTAAATGGGAACCAGTCAGCCACTGACATCACTTCTGAGATGCTTTATTTTCTGCGGGATTGATCTGCAGTGGGCAGTGTCTCCTCACACTGTAATTTTAACTCTCTGCCTGCCCGGCCTCTCTGTCAAAGTAGTTGGTGAGTTAAAAACAGATGCTGCAAGGCACCAGGGGACCTCACCATTTAAAGGACTCCTGTGGTGAATTCTTTTGTAAAATGAATAATGGCACCCTAATTTATCTCCTTTCTAAATTTGGGTCCATGGGGGTGTTGGGGGCATGCCTGTGTGCTGTTGCCAGCAGACAAGCAGAGGGAAGGGAATCTGAGGTTTCCTTCCCCTGCTGTCCTGCCACACTCAGGATACCCTACCATACAGGATTTCCTCTCTTGCTGGCTGTGGAAAGTGTGGGAGAGGCAAGCTAAGAGGGTGGCTTTGCTTAAATCTTGGGTTTGGGTGACCTTCTGAGAGATGAGGAGAGATGACCTGGGAGCCTCTGCTTGGAGTGTTTTTATATCTTTTAGAGATTCTGTCAGACACAGCTAGGTTGCCAGGATTCAATGCCCTATGGTCCAGGAAATAATTTGGACACATTCTCTAAACCCCTTTCAGGTATTGGTCCCTCTGCAACTCAGCCATTAACATAAAAATTAATTATGTGCCTGTATTTTTAAAAGCCTAAGCAAGCAACCCAAAGTGTAGAACACATGGCTTTCTTCTCCTCTCCCAGCAGAGGAACAGAAGCCAGAGCTGAGGGGAGGAGCCAGGAGTTGGTCCAGGAAGGGGTAGGAAGGGGTAGAATAGGACCAGGGGTGGGAGTAGGGTTTGGTACCCCTTACCCTCTAACTGGGAGCCCAGGGTGAGGGAATGAAAGGAGCGTGGGGGTGGAAAGGAATGAAGCCCTTCTGTTTCCTGGGGATGCAGAGCTTGGGGCATGCTGTGTCTCTGCAGAAGCTCCTAGTCCTTTCCTTCCTGCCGTTATTGTGAGCGAGAGGCGGCCCCTCCCACAGTGTTTTCTCCTTCCCACATCACTTCCCTGAATCCCCTTCCTTTCCCCCCAGTACAGTTAAACCTCTCTAATTTGGAATGTTATATTTGAGAAGCTGGCCACTGTGAATAAGTGACAAAACTGAATGACAGTGTCTTTAATGAAATGCATGTCTTCATACTATATACAGTAAGTAGAACTCAACGAGGCTTTCCCACTTGAGGCCCTCAGGGAGCATGTGTTAATGAGTAGATAGGATTGAAAAGTCTGTTTTCTGGTATAGGTTAAATATTCCCTCCCACATACACGTTTCCACTATTAATTTTGTTTAGCACACCCTTTCTTCACAGATAAAGGAAAACTCAAGCCCAGTTTTTGTTCAAATTATGAAAAAAAATCCCAAATCCATGGGGGTTTGGATTAATGAGGTTTTGCTGTACTGCTTCCCCTTGTTCCCTCTACACAAAGTTCCCACCTCTGATTGGGGGTGGCCTGGGGGGGGGGCACTGGGCAGGGGAAGATGCAAGGGTTAGGCTGGGGGTGAGATAGGAAACTTACTTCTTGTGAACTGGGTTCCTGATTTGACTCCCTGGGTTGAAGGCCCCTGTTAGGAGTCAGGGGTGAGATTCTCTTCTCCCTGATCCCAGAAGATGTAACTTCTCCTACAGGTGAGAAACGAAGGAGGAGGATGCGGGTGGGGGTGTCCTGGGGGAAGGGGGTGGGATGTGGTTTGTGGAGTGGGCCAGTTCTGGGGGAGGCCACTGCTAGGGAGCTGGCACCCAGGCCCCCGCGAAGCGTCTCAATAAGTCCGCGCTCTCCTCTTTGGTGTCTTGCAGGAGAGGCAGCTTCCCCCCTTGGGTCCAACAAACCCGCGTGTGACGCTGGCCCCACCTTGGAACGGCCTGGCCCCCCCAGCCCCACCTCCCCCACCCCGGCTGCAGATCACTGAGAACGGCGAGTTCCGAAACACCGCAGACCACTAGCCCGCCCTGCATCACAGACCTCCTTCTCCCTCCCTGTGCACCCCACCTTGGAACGGCACCAACCACCAGGACTGGACGTCGCCGAGGGACAGCGGGATTGCCTCCCTGAATGCCTCGCTGGGGGGCACCAGTCCCCCACCCCCACTGCACCATTTCCAGGAGGGAGAGCAGGGACCCTCAGCTGCTCCCTTTTCCTTCCTGTTGGGGTGCTTCCCCCTGTGACCCCCAGGAACCCCTGCCCCAGGACACCACCTACCCCACACAGACCCCTTCACTCCGGGGTGCTATCCCCATCCTCTGCCTCATCGTTCCCCTGAGCACTGGGGGACAGACCCTCACCCCACCGTGGGGGTGCGGCACCTCCAAACTTTCAACTTCAGGGTGATTTTTTAGCAGTAACCAGAGCTGACAATCTAACTCCCCTCCACCGCCCCATTTTGGCCTCCCCTGTCCCCCTTGTTATGGGGAGGGGACCCCAGGTGAGGGGGCCCTATTACCCCTTGATTTCTCAGGAGCGTCTGGGGGGGCTCAGCACGCACAAACTCCTTCTCCTCCTACCACTCTTAAATTTACTCCCTCCCCACCCAGAACCCAGATGGGGTGGAGGGGCCACCGGGGCAGGGAGGGGGTGGCAAGGGGGGAATGGGAGTTGTCTCCCCTTCTTCCCATACCTGATCTGCTCTTGGCTGGTCCCAGAGCGGGGTGAGGGGGCTTGTGCCCCCCCCTCCCCCAGTGTGTTGGGTGGGGCGGAATTGAGGTTTGGGGGAGGGGTTAGGGTTTAGGAGCGGGTGTATGTTGGGGAGGACAGACTAGTTGATCTGCCCTACCCTGACACACACACAGCCCCGCTGCCCCTCCCCTCTCTTTTCTTGGTCTCTACTCCCAGGGGGAGGGGGGAACTTACTCTAGGAAAAGCCATGTCTCTCTCCCCCAGGGTGGGGGGACCTGTGTTGGAGGAGGGGTGTTGAGGGCCCCCTTCCATGACTCTGTCCCCCGGGGGAGGTAGGACAGGGCTGGGCTTCCCTCTCATCCTCCCCCCCCCTCCCCAATCTCCCTCCACCTTCCTCCCTCCCGCCAGGTCCACAATTTTTCGGTGTTTCTCTGTACATAGCTCTCTGGCGGGATAGGGGAGGTAGGATGGATGGGGTTTGGTGTGGGTAGGTCACAGGAGGGGAGAAGCCCCTCCTTGGCACCCCCTCTTCCCTGACTGCTGTCCCCTACCCAGCCTTGCCCCCTCATCCCTTCTTGCGTTTGGTATTGAGACTCTTCCCAGACTCCACCCTTCTTTCTTTTGTATGGACAGTTCCCCTTCAGTCCCATCCCACTACACACATACACCCAGCCGGGGCCAAATTTATACTTATATAAAAGTTGTAAATATGTGAAATTTTATCCCTGTGCCCTTTCCTTGCTTTCCCAACCTCAGACCCTACCCCTGGACTCCCTTTCCTCTTCTCTTCTTTGGCTGTTGTAATTATCTGGGGTTTGTACTGTACATATCCAGGGTGTGTGTGTGGGGGCTGGGGGCAACCCCTCTGTACAGAGCTTCCTGGCCCCCTCCCCCCCATGCTTCCCTCCCCCGGCCACCACCTTAAGGGTAGGGAGATGTTCTTCCTACCTGTTTTATTTTGTTTTCACGTTCTCCCTCCCCACCCTACCCCACTCCCAGCCTACTCTATCCCCAGCCACTGTCCCTTTTTCTCCACTCCCAGCCCCATTTCCTTTTTTTCTGGAGTGTGTGGTGAAACAGAAAAATCATGTTTAATAAACGGAGATTGTTCTTTTATCACTGTGCTTACTTTCCTAGGCTGGGACCTCCAGGAGGACCAGCAGGGTGACGAGCTGCTTTTTGAGAGGAAGCTGACAGCCTAGGAGAAACTGTATATCCTTGTGTGGTGCCGTAGTCTTCACCCTAGAATATCGCTGTCCCGACCAGCGAGATTTATTGTTTTAGAGTAGGGGTTTTGCACTGGCCAAACTTACTCCGTCTATCTCTCCCCTCACCACTGCACCACTTAACCCGAAGGAGTAAAGAGGTCAAGGAACAGCAGCATTAAATAAATAAATAAAACATTAAAAAAAAAAAAAAGAACAGCAGCATTCTCTGATAAAAGATTCCTAGTATACATCTACGTGTACCTTAAAAAGAATTACCTAATTGGTAAAACTACATCTGTGAAACATCATCTGACTGGTGAATTTGAGAAGTATGTAGCTACCTTGGGTGTTGAGGTCCATCCCCTTGTATTCCGTACCAACAGAGGACCTATTAAGTTCAATGTATGGGATACAGCTGGTCAGGAGAAACTTGGTGGACTGAGAAATGGCTATTATATCCAAGCTCTGTGCCATTATAATGTTTGATGTAATATCGAGAGTTACAAGAACGTGCGTAACTGGCATACAGATCTGGTACGAGTGTGTGAGAACATCCCCATCGTGTTGTGTGGCAACAAAGTGGTTATTAAGGACAGAAAGGTTAAGGCAAAGTCAACTGTCTTCAGCCGAAAGAAGAATCTTCAGTACTATGACATTTCTGCCAAAAGTAACTACAACTTTGAAAAGCCCTTCCTCTGGCTTGCTAGAAAACTGATCGGAGACCCTAACTTGGAGTTCGTCGCCATGCCTGCTCTCGCCCCACCAGAGGTGGTCATGGATCCAGCGTTGGCAGCGCAGTACGAGCACGATCTAGAGGTTGCTCAGACAACTGCCCTCCCGGATGAACATGATGACCCGTGAGAAAGTGAAGCTGGAGCCCAGAGTCAGAAGTCTAGTTTTATAGGCAACTGTCCTGTGATGTCGGTGGTGCAGGGTGTTTGCCACTTTATTATATAGCTAAGCAGAACATGTGCTTAATCTTTGGGATGCTGAAGGAGATGAATGGGCTTCGGAGTGAATGTGGCAGTTAAAAAAAAAACAAAAACATTTTTTTGGGGACCTGCATATTTGTGTTTTGGAACACAGTTGTTTCCTCCTTGAGTTTCAAATATAAGAGTGCTACAGTCACATCACAATATTCAGTGGTGGAATCTTGTTTGTCACTGTCATTCCCATTCCTTTTCGTTTAGAATCAGAATAAAGTTGTATTTTAAATATCTAAAAAAAAATTACCTAGAAATTAAGTTTATTAAATTGCTAGAGGAAAAATAAAAATTAGTTTAAACGCTCCCGTGCGGAATGGAGGAAAGAACATGGTGCCTCAGCGATATGCGGTCCAGCCCCAGGGCCACCACTTGCCAGCCTCAGTTTCCCCCGAGGAAACGGGATGGAAACACCTACCTCGCTGGTGGCGAAGCCCGAGGGATACAAGGTGATGCGGTCAATACGTAGCCCATACAGTAAGTGCCCGCTTAATCTCGCCCTCTCAGCACCTACTAGAGGCGGGGGCTAAGTTTAATCACCGGAGCGCACGCCCACCCTTTCTGCGGCCCGGCTGGGGCCAGCGGCTTCTCGCGGGCACCGCCTTCTCACCCGCGCAACCAATCAACATGAGGCTTGTAGGCCGGCGTCCCCCGATTGGCTGCCTCCCTGGCACCGCCCAGCGCCCCGGCGTCCGCGTCCGGCGAGGAGGCGGTGGCTTCCGGCCGGGGCGGTACGGTTGCTGCAGAGGCGCTTTGGACGCCGGGCCGCGTGTGTACTCTCGGGGGCGTGGCGGCGGGAAGAGCCGGGCGGCAGGCGCTGGCGGTCTCCGGGTGGCCGCGCCTCCCCTGGAGCCGGACTCTGCGGGCACGTGAGTGGGAGCGGAGCGGCGGGGAGAAGCCGACCCGGCCGGCGAGGTCCGGCTCGCGGCTGAAGGACCTCCTAGTCTCCACAGGCCCTGGAAGTTCAAACCTCGGTTGGTGTTTTGTTGTGGTATGTTTTCGTTTTCTCGGCGGGGGAGTGCGTGGGACTGATCTGCCCGAACAGCCGCCGACTGAAAAGTTTTCACACGTTGGGGGGCAGGGGAGGCGGGCGTTTGAGGAGACACGGTTCCCCTTATCCAGAGCTTCTGTGACCCCGTCCCTTTCCTTCACAGCCCTCTTCCCGCGCGGGCTCTACCTCACCCCTCACCTCCTGTACTCGACCCCTCTGGGGTTTCTCTCTTCCCCAGGAGGCCATGGATACCTCGACGCCTTTGCCTCCCGTAGCCCCCTCCCCGGCCTGCAACCCAGCCCCACGGACGATCCAGATCGAGTTCCCTCAGCATAGCTCGTTACTCCTGGAGGCCCTGAACCGCCACAGGCTGGAGGGAAAGTTCTGTGACGTGTCCCTCCTGGTGCAGGGCCGCGAACTTAGGGCCCACAAAGCGGTGTTGGCTGCCGCCTCTCCTTACTTCCACGACAAACTACTTCTGGGGGATGCACCACGTCTCACCTTGCCCAGCGTCATCGAAGCCGACGCCTTCGAGGGGCTGCTCCAGCTCATTTATTCCGGGCACCTCCGTCTGCCACTGGATGCTCTCCCTGCCCACCTCCTTGTGGCCAGTGGTCTCCAGATGTGGCAAGTGGTAGATCAGTGCTCAGAGATCCTTAGAGAACTAGAAAACTCAGGTGGTGGGATTTCAACTCGGGGAGCGACCCCTTTCCACACACTTCTTTCCACCACATCCTCTCCAGGAGACTGGTGCATCCGCTCTTCCCCTTTCCAGACTGTGGCGCAGTCTTCTGCTTCTACCCAGAGCCCCGTTGGAGGGGAGGGGAGTGAACTGGGAGATATGTTACAGCTTCAAGTTGAAGAAGAGGAGGAGGAGGAGGAAGAAGAAGATGAGGAGGACCAGGGATCAACAGTACCCTCTCAGACTCCTCAGCCTCAGAGAGGGTCAGGGGGTTTTCCTCGCTCTCCTGCATCCCACGCCCTGCCCACATCCACTACTCCTTGCAGGCTTCCAGAGAGCGAGAGTGCTCCACCTGAGCCTCCTGCCCCTCATACTGTACTGCCTCCCAAAATCTTCTACATTAAGCAGGAACCCTTTGAGCCCAAGGAGGAGATATCAGGAGGTGGAACTCAGTCTGGAGGAACAAAGGAGGAGACCAAAGTGTTTCCAGGAGGGAACACTGAAGAGAATGGAGAGCTAGGGTTCTTGCTGCCCTCAGGAGCAGGGCAAACATCTGGAGGAGGTGGTCCATCCTGGAAACCAGTGGATCTTCATGGGAATGAAATCCTGTCAGGGGGTGGGGGACCTGGGGGAGTAGGGCAAGCTGTGCATGGACCTGTGAAGCTAGGCGGGGCACCCCCTGCAGATGGAAAACGCTTTGGTTGTTTGTGTGGGAAGCGGTTTGCAGTGAAGCCAAAGCGTGACCGGCACATCATGCTGACCTTCAGCCTTCGGCCCTTTGGCTGTGGCATCTGTAACAAGCGCTTCAAGCTGAAGCACCATCTAACAGAGCATATGAAGACCCACGCTGGAGCCCTGCATGCCTGTCCTCACTGTGGCCGCCGGTTCCGAGTCCATGCCTGTTTCCTTCGCCACCGGGACCTGTGCAAGGGCCAGGGCTGGGCCACTGCTCACTGGACTTACAAGTGACTACTGAGGCCATACACGAATTTCCAGGACAAGGGGGCCACTGCTGCTGTTGGATACTTACCCCTCACTACTATGGCACCGCAATCCTGTATCTTGTTAATTATGCCAAGAGGATAGCTATGTTATGGACCTCTTGTTTTTGGGTGTGGGCTTCAACCTGACCGATTTGGAAACTGATTTCTCATCTCACTCCAGGTTTTGGCTAACTACCCTACAGGAAAGTGGTTCACAGGCCATATGTAAATCGATCAGTTGCCCATAATAGATATTCTTTTCATACAGGAAACTGGAATTCAGATTAGAAGTTTATTTGATGAGAGAGGAGTTAGCAAGAAAAATTATGATAAATATTTCATTCAGTCTCTGTGAGTAGTTAAGGGAGCTGGTCTCCATCTAGAGATATGTTTGATTCAGAGTTCTGGTAATCTGGAGACTAAGCTCTAAGCTTTACTCTCCCTCATCATTGCTGAAATTATGTGAGTAGAGGTCTTCTTTTATACTTCTGTTAAAATTTTCCAGAAACCCTTCAGATTATAAATTGCTTTCTCACTAGTAGGTAATTTTGCAACACCTTTTTTGTTGTATGTTGTAGTTGAGCACTTTAACAGATTGCGCATTCCATGTGTCACTTAGACCCCTCTTTAATAGAGGATCTTAGTTCCCGGACCAGGGGTCCAACCTAAGCCTCCTGCAGTGGAAGCGCGGAGTCTTAACCACTGGACTGCCCGGGAAGTCCCTCTTGTCTACCTTTGACCACCACTGATCGTCCATATTGATCACACTGACTGGAATGTGACCAGTGAACTCAGGAGATGGCCACTGACCTAAAATACTCTCAGGGTAGAATCACCGCTCTGAAGAAGTGGCTATGGTCAGAGGGACTCAGGGCTGAGACGACACATGCTGAAAACTAGAGAAATAACTGCACAGTGGGACCACACCCCCTCCCTTTCCATCCCTACCCACACTTGACAGCCCCTTGGTCGACACACAGAAGGATAGATGTTGGAATGGGGAGATTGTCATAAGTTTCTTAATTTCTTCAAATAAACTTTGCCGTGAAAGCTAAGCTGACAGTGGACTGAATTGAGTCATTTATATGGGAGAGACGATGTGAGAACAGAGTTGCAAAGACTTGGACATATTCCTTATGCGGCTGGGTTATGTTCATGGGGGAAGAATCGGATAGTCTCACACTGCTGCAGAGAACACTGTCCTGGATGTCAGTGGGCCAGATTCTCAGCCCTGACCTGCCCCTGAATAACTTCTGGTAAGTTGCCTTATTTTTCAGAGTCTGAACTGTTTTGTTTTTTTTTTTATTAATTTTTTTTTTGGTGGTGTGGTATGTACCTCCTTACTGGTTCTCTGTCTTCTTTTTTTTAAGGGGTTGTTCACATTTTTACCTATAATATTCCCTGACTTCATGTATTATGTTTATTGTTTGGTTTGTTCTACATCTGTTGCAAAGCACTGTACTAGACCCTGACTTATACTCTACCCTCAGAGAGTTCATAGCTACTGCCGAAGCTAGACATAATGACAATGTGGTATGGTAAGTCCATGATAGGAGACAATACAAGCTACTGTAGTGGCACAAAGGAAGCTGAGTAAAGACCTATGATGGGTCACCAGAGGTTTCACAAAGAACTCCATTGCCAGAGTGTGGCAGTGGGTATGGGCGGCTGAATTGATGTGGAAATGGTGAACATGAGTTGAAGTCACAACTATAGAGCCAGGAGTGACAGCCTTTGCCAAAGCACGTTCCTCAAAAGTTAATAGGTATGGAACCTAAAGGGGCTAAAAAATATGACTTTATGGCTGAGAAGGTGAGTTGTAGCTGGGATCTGTCAGCCTTTCTAAAGAGCCTTGCCATGATACCATCCCCACTGTAAGGACTGTGACCACATTGGATAAGGGGTCAGGGATGGAGGCTGCCAACCTTGGATCTACTACCATCCCATCCACCTGTCATTCTTTTGGCACATGTTCTGTAGCTGACTATATCTGTTGGCCAGGATCCTTGGGTTTCAAGCGGTGGAAACTGGTTCTGACTAACCTTATCAACACAGGAATCTGAAGGATGTGGGGTGGCTCCTGGAATGGAAGGAAGGGCTAAAAGACCAGCCTTTGGAAGGACAAGACCTGGGTCAGCTCCAGGGGTTGAGGGAACAGGAACTGGGGAATTTTTCCAGTCATATGTTTTGGGATGATGACCCAGTTAATCTTATTTCTTCTGTCACTCATCTCAAGATAAAATTTCCAGGAGAGAACTCTGGGCCTCAGGGCCATCCTCTGACCAGAGCACCTTGATCATATGTTCCATTGAGGTGACAAATCCTGGAATCCTCAAGGGAAATTGAAGTTCTGGGACAGAAGAGTGGGGAATGGGTGCTGGCCAGCCCACAAGAACAGAGGCCCACCCATACAATCTTCATATGTTGCCCATCTTGGGATCCGTAAAGCCTCAGGTATACCTGGCACTTAATAGGTGTCCAAACTTAGGGCAGAATTGCTTCCTCCCTCTCCTTAATCCCCATAGCACTTTACTACTTCTGTAAAGCCAATTAAGACACCATGTTAGAAGTTTGGGTTTTCTTTCCAAGTTATTAGGATTATAGGGAAATTGAGTTCCACGATGAAAGATTTTGGTTTAAACAAACGTGCACCTCTCTGCTTTTGTCCTTTCCTCCTTATAGTGGAAGAGATGTCCCTTCTACTGTCCAAGGCTAGCCCCCTTCACAGAGCCTTTGCTCTTTTAATTACCCTTTCTGTCCTATATCTTCACTCTCTGTCTCTGTAGTTTCTCATTAGCATTTATTATGATCATAGGGTTGTGAGAATTAATACATGTAAAATGCTTAGAACAGTGCCTTGCACTCAGTAAACTCAATAAATGTCAACTGTTATTATGAGTGAGAACAGTAATTCCCCACACCTTTACAGGGATCGGTTCTCTCAGGGAAGGGCCACATAAATAAAGGGAAAATATTTTCAACTAAAAGGGAAATGAAGCATACAGCACTCAGTAAGGATTAGATGTTATTGTTTTAATTATTACCTTTCTCATAAATGCTAGAGTTTTTCAGAGCCCTTTCCCCCATCTTCTAACTTGATACACTCCTGGGTGATTTTTATCCACTCTCCTGAGTTAAAGCATGCATTTATTTACTTACTTACTTGCGGCTGTGTTGGGTCTTCGTTGCTGTGCACAGGCTTTCTCTAGTTGCGGCGAGCGGGGGCTACTCTTCGTTGCAGTGCGCAGGCTTCTCATTGCGGTGGCTTCTCTTTGTTGCAGAGCACAGGCTCTAGGCACGCGGGCTGCAGTAGTTGTGGCATGCAGGCTCAGTAATTGTGGCTCGTGGGCTCTAGAGCGCAGGCTCAGTAGTTGTGGCACACAGGCTTAGTTGCTCCGCCGCATGTGGGATCTTCCCGGACCAGGGCTTAAACCCGTGTCCCCTGCATTGGCAGGTGGATTCTTAACCACTGCACCACCAGGGAAGTCCCCTGAGTTAAAGCATTTAAATACTGATGACCCTTAGTTTTTTATCTCCAGTTTTCCTGACCCCCAGACCCACTTAGATTTCTTTCCTCTTTCCTGCCTTCCTTCAGCCATAAGTGTCTGCTGTGTACCAGGCACTGATGAAAAAAGCAGAAGGTATCACAGGGATTGGGCCCTGGATTGTCATTTTAAGAGACAGATGTTTAAACCAGTTATGTAGGCATTTCATAGATATATCAAAAGGGAAAGGAAATAAAACAGGCAATAAGGTGGAGAGTAACAGAAAAGGAAGACATACTGTACACATTTATCTAGTATTCCAAAGGAAAAGAAAGACAGACATGCAAAACAGGGCAAGGAAAGTGGTTCTAGTAAAGTGTTCAGCAGATGTAAAGGCCAAGGAAGAGAAAGGGAGGTATATTTGATGAGACCAGTGGACCTGGAGAGGAATGAGATGTTGTCTTAGTCCATTCTGGCATCTGTAACAATACCACAAACCGGGTGGCTTATAAACAATGGAAGTTTATTTCTCACAGTTCTGGAGGCTGGGAAGTCCAAGATCAAGCACCAGAAGATTCAGTGTCATGAAGACCTGCTGCCTGGCTCATGGACAGTCATCTTGCTGTATCCTCACATAGTGCAAAGAGAAAGGGAGCTCTCTGGAGTCTCTTTTATAAGGGCACTAATCCCATACATGAGGTCTTCACCTTCCTGACCTAATCACCCCAAAGCCCCACCTCCTAGTAACATCGCATTGGGGATTAGGATTTTAACATAATTTTGAGGGATATAAACATTCAGTTCATTGCAGATGTGATTGAAGAGGTGGGCTGGGCTATATAGAGCCTTGCACATCATGATGAGGAATGCAGATTTTATTCTAACTGCAATGAGAAGACGATAAAGAGTTTAAAGTAGGGGAGTAACGATCTTTTCACATTTTAAAGAGATTCCTATAGCTATAGAACAAGTATTGGATCATTAAAGGAAGGATCATTAAAGGATCACTCTTGGAAGAAAAAAAAGGGGGGGGGTGCCAAGAGTGGGAGCAGGGAAACAAATTAGACTGTTTCATTAGTGCAGATAAGAGGTGAGTAAATGCAGCAGACATGCAGAGAAGGAGATGGATTAAAACTGTTATTATATTTTGAGGTAGGACTGACAGAACGTTTTAACAGATTAATATAGAGATTGTGGGAAAATAAAAAATCAGGGATGACTTCTAGAGTTTTGGCTTGAGCAGTTGAATTGGAGGCCAGTTAATGAGTGGGAGACAGGAATAGAACTTGGGAGTGGATCAAGGGCAGACACATGTATTGACCAGGGTTCTTCTAGACCAGGGGGTGGCAAACTTATTCTATAAAGGATAAGATAGTAAATATTAGGCTTTGCATGTTAAGAAGCAAAATCAAGGATATTATGTAGGTACGTAGAAATTAAGGAAAACAAATTTCCGTGATTCCTTTGAATTTATTGACAAAATTCAAATTATAATAATTGAGCACAAATTTTTGTAGTACAGGTCTGTTGCTTAAATGGGGTTCAGACTTAGTGTTTCCTATCATTAAAATCAATTGCAAATGTTCATCTGTTAGTGCTGATCTATAATAGAATGTTATGTATTTCATCTTTGAAAATGTCTTCACACAGATAGTACTGCCAAATACTGGTATCAATCCCAAGAGCGTATGATTTTAACTGAGCACATTCATCACTTGAAAGGCATTTATAGAATTCTGTAATTTATATTCTCTTCATACTTGCCTCTTATCACATCATTACATCGTAGATCAAGCACATCCAATTGAAGGTTAGGTGGAAGTGCCACAGTTGCACAGTTAGATGAAATATAGAAATTTCCTTTGCACTTGCACTGAGGTCTGAAAAACATTGCTGGAACTGTAGTTTGAGCTCAGAATATGTATCTGTTGCAAATTTGTGTGGGAATGGAGCTCTTGCTTCTTGTTCTTGACTCTACATGCAATTAAAACAACTTTAATGATTTTGCTGCGATGTATGTTTCCATATAAGCTCTGTTTTGCTTTGTAATTTTTTGACTTGTAAGAAACGGTACCATGTCTGTAGCATGTCCACTGGCCAATGTATGGATGAACAAAATGTGGTATTTATATACAATGGAGTGTTACTCAACCTTAAAAAGGAAGGAAATTCTGACACATGCTCCAACATAGGTGAACCTTGAAGACATGTTAAGTGAAATAATCCAGGTACAAAAGGAAAAATACTGTATGATTCCGCTTATATGAGGGACTTAGAGCAGTCAAGTTCATAGAGACAGAAAGTATAATGGTGGTTGCCTAGGGGCTGGGGAGAGCAGGAAATGGGGAGTTATTGTTTAATAGGTACAGAGTTTCGGTGTGGAAAGATGAAAAGAGTTCTGCAGATGGATGGTGGTGATGGTTGCACAACAACGTGAATTACTAGTGCCACTGAACTGTACACTTAAAAATGGTTTAAAACATGCTTTAAATTGTAAATTTTGTTATGTATATTTAACCACAATAAAAAAATAAATGAACCACTATTGAGCTAATGGATCTAGGCGTTGAGCATCAGTGGCTGCTAATAGCACAGAAAAGAAACAAACAGACTTTATGTGCTTCTTATGGAAAACACCACCACCACCTATGAATTAGTCTGGCCAAAAATACTGAACTTGAATGTGATCAAGCCTCAAGATATAACTACCAATTCACAGAAGATGCAGAAGGCAGGGAAACATGTTAAAACATACCACAGTGAGGCAATCAGCAAAACTGAGACTGTAAGATATTCTGGGGAATAAATAACCAGTTTTCTTCAAAAAAAAACCTGCAAGGGGAAAAAAGCAATGGAAGGTAATCTGTAGTTTAAAAGATTTTAAAGGACATTAACCAATCATAATGCGTGGACCTTACTTGGATAAAGTTTTTTAAAAAGATTTTTTTTTAATTTTATGACTTTATGAGACAACTGACTGGACATCTGATGATATCAGGAGTTATTTTTATAGTGTTAAAAATTTTAGTTGTCATAATAATGGTATTGTGAGTTAAGTTTAAAAAGAGGGGGAGCCCTTGTGTTTTCATGGCATTGGTTATTTATGGATAGATATATTTATGCATAGTTGTGGACTGAATAAAAATGCCAAATACACATATGAGCTCTAGAGAATTGTATTAATTATAATTTGAGTATTTATATATAGTCACTTTTTTAAAAGATTGAGAAATAAATTTGGAAATAGTTATATACAGTAAGAACATCTAATCAGAAATTTTATATTAAACATTCTGGTTTGTGTTCTGGTCCAAGTTAATAAAACTTTCTACTTGAATCTTGAAAACAAAATAATCAGTTGCTCTCTGTATTGATTTAGAAAGATCTCCAGCATATATATTTTTAAAATTTATTTATTTTTGGCTGCGTTGGGTCTTCGTTGCTGCATGCGGGCTTTCTCTAGTTGCGGCGAGCGGAGGCTACTCTTCGTTGCGGTGTGCGGGCTTCTCATTGCAGTGGCTTCTCGTTGCGGAGCAAGGGCTCTAGGTGCGCGAGCTTCAGTAGTGTGGCTCGTGGCCTCTAGATCACAGGCTTAGTAGTTGTGACTCACGGGCTTAGTTGCTCCGCGGCATGTGGGATCTTCCAGGACCAGGGATCGAACCCGTGTCCCCTGCATTGGCAGGCAGATTCTTAACCACTGTGCCACCCAGGGAAGTCCTCCAGCATATATTGTTGAGTGAAAAAAGCAAAAGTGCAGAACGATATATATAACATGCTTTGTTTTGTATGAGAGACAGTAAGAGTAGGGAGGAAATAAGAAAAGTATATTTGCAAAAAGAAGCACTACTGGGATAAACAAGAAACCAATAAAAATGGGAAAAGAAGTTGAGCTAAGGACACAAACAAGACTATGTGTGCTTTAAGACTCCTTTATGTATGTAGTGGAATTATGTAATTCCACTAACTAAGCATGGCTTCTTGGAGAAATTGCTGATTCCATGTCTAGAAGCAGACATTTTTCAAAGTGCACCTGGGATACCTTTTCATGTTAAGAAGCAAGAAAGCTTTAGAAGATAATGTCATGTCAAAAGGACACAGGAGCCCATATGAAAGTGTCCCCACTGAACAAAGTTGTTACAATCTTAGCAACTAAAAGAATAATGATTGAGTTTAACACTGATTCAGTGAAATTCATTTTTCTATGATGATACTCAAAATGAGAGTAAATCAAGAAAGTCTCAATGGTTACTTTTGTTACCAAAAGTTATCATTTGGGGTAACTTTTAAAACATTTACTTTGAAAATTGGTAATTAAAGGGAAAATATTAAGCGTTATTTTGCTCTTCCGGTAAAAATTTATTTTAGGATAACCAAATAGTCCTAGTTAATGAAGAAGCCTTCACAGAATTCTTGTAAACAATGTGAAAAAAACAAAATAATTAGAAAAACATAGTTTCACAAACTCCAATGAAATTATTGATTCAGGCAAGGATTATCAACTGGTGTTAAAACCAATAGTTGAGGGACTTCCCTGGTGGCACAGTGGATAAGAATCCGCCTGCCAATGCAGGGAACATGGGTTCGATCCCTGGTCCGGGAAGATCCCACATGCCATGGAGCAGCTAAGCCCGCGAGCCACAACTACTGAAGCTGGCGGCCTAGAGCCGGTGCTCCACAAGAGAAGCCTCCGCAAGGAGAAGCCCACACATCACAATAAAGGCTAGCCCCTGCTCGCTACAACTAGAGAAAGCCCACGTGCAGCAACGAAGACCCAACAGAGCCAAAAAAAAAAACAACCAATAGGTGATTGATTGTTGTAAACATTCATATAGAGCCAAAGTAACACCACACAGATTACTTTCCAATCTGAAGAGGGAAAGTGTTAACTGTAAGTTGAGTCATCAATTTTAGCATCACTAGTGGTTGATTATATGTGTCCTCTAATGAAATGTAATATTCACAACAATATAATAATGATATGACTTTATTCTTTCTAGTACCTCATATTCTAATTCAGACGTCCCTCAGAGGATTTAATCCATTCTTAAAAACATGTTGGGCAGTGAATTTTTAGGTAGTGGGAGTCTGTGCATCATTATTTTAAGTAGAAAAAAATATATATTCCCGGGACTTCCCTCGTGGTCCAGTGGTTAAGACTCCGTGCTCCCAATGCAGGGGTTCCGGGTTCTATCCCTGGTCAGGGAACTAGATCCCACATACCACAACTAAAAAAAGGAAAAGATCCTACATGCCGCAACGAAGATCTCGCACGCGGCAACGTAGATCCCGCATGCCACAACTAAGACCCAGGGCAGCCAAATAAATAAATAAATATTAAAAAAAATAATATATATATATATATATATATTCCCAGCACGTCTAAAAACCCCAAGCAATTTCTTTCAGTACTGGAAACACTCTAAAATATATATACACACACATATATATAAAACAATCAATGAGGTTTTTCTGCTTAAGATAAAGCCTTTAAAACACCAACTATCTAATTGTTTAACACTTAATTAACTCACTAATGACTTTATTTGTGCAGTAACCCTATAGGGTACAAATCGTGTTTTCCTTTTAACTAACAAACGTGTACTGTAATGTAAATGAACAGTGAAATAATATGTTAAAGACACATAATGAAGGCAGATAACACTTAGCAATAATAAAATAAACAAGGCAAGTTTTTAAACATGATTACTGAAGATTGCAGTGCTTCCTGAGTGAGGTTTGGAGATGAGAAGGGAGATATGGAGGCTGTAGTCACTGTTGGTGTCTAGGGGTGGAAGAAGGTGACGAAGAACAAGCTTCGGAAGAAATGAGTGAAACAGTAAATGTCTGAGGTTCATCCATGTCAGATCCAAGAAGCTGGTGGATAGTCTGCTTTCCTTGGCAATGGAGTCATCAGAAGTGGATGATTGTGAATCAGCTTCTGAAAGTATTGACAAAGCATGACCAGAAACTCAAAGTGTACAGGTGTTAACATTCCCTTTGCTTGTGTTATGCAGCTTCTCATAACCCTAGACTGTGCTGGAGATTGCATTTTTGAATGTGATTTTTCTACACTTGTCATGATCATGATCTCTTGTAATCAATAGCAGCCATTCTGTCTACATGATATAAACTTTCCTTTAAAGATTTATTGTCAAGTATTAGTGGCTCTTTGTATTAGTCTTCTAGGGCTGCCATGACAAAATACCACAGGCTGTTGGCTTAAACAAGAGATGTTTATTTTCTCACAGTTCTGGAGACTAAGTTCAAGATTAAGATGCCAGCAGGGGGCTTCCCTGGTGGCACAGTGGTTAAGAATCTGCCTGCCGACGCAGGGGACACGGGTTCGAGCCCTGGTCCACGAAGATCCCACATGCTGCAGAGCAACTAAGCCCGTGCGCCACAACTACTGAGCCTGTGCTCTAGAGCCCGCGAGCCACAACTACTGAGCCCCCGTGCCTCAACTACTGAAGCCTGCATGCCTAGAGCCCATGCTCTGCAACAAGAGAAGCCACCACAGTGAGAAGCCCGCACACCACAACGAAGAGTAGCCCCCGCTCGCCGCAACTAGAGAAAGCCCGCACAGCAACGAAGACCCAATGCAGCCAAAAATAATAAATAAACAAAATAAATACATTTATTTTAAAAAAAGAAAAGATGCCTGCAGGTTTGGTTTCTCCTGAGGCCTCTCTCCTTAGCTTGCAGACTGCTGCCTTCTCACTGGGTCCTCACATGACCTTTCTCTGTGTACATGCACTCCTGGTGTCTCTATTCTTGCAAAGACACCCCTCATACTGAATTGGGGCTCCACCCTTAGGACCTCATTTAGCATTAATTGCTTCTTTAAAGGCTTTATCTCCAAATACAGTCACATTGAGCATTAGAGTTTCAACATATGAATAGAGGAGGGCACAATTCAGTCCATAACACTCTTCTTCCTCCAACTTAGTTCCTTCCAGCATTATTCCTTCCAATTGAATGTGTTTCTTGGAAGGAACATGGTAAAGTTTTCCAAATCAACATTTTTAATAATTTGTCTTTATTTTCTCACACACAGGAAATAGGGTATTCTTAGTAAATGGAAAGGTATGAATGGCCATATATCCTTTTATGCTTTCACCTCTTAATATACTTTATCACTCCCAATATACATGCTTCTAAGGGTTTTATAGTTTTAGCTTTCACTTTTAGGTCTTTGATCCATTTTGAGTTAATTTTTGTGTATTATGTGGGGTAAGGCTCCACAATCATCATTTTGCATGTAGATTGTCTAATGTCCTTTCATTTCAGCCTGAAGGGCTCCCTTAGC